TATCAATTCCTTGTTTCATATTTTTCTGACATATTTAAGAAGACATTGCCATCTAGACTCTGGTGGCTCAAAACCTCTAATCCTGTTTGGAAGACTCTTTATCTCCAGTTAACCAGCAAAAAAGCTAGATGTGAAGGCATGGTTCAAGTGGTAGAGAACCACCAGCTATAACTTTTTTTAAAAGCTAAGAGAAAAGGCCCTGAGTTTAAGCTTCAGTGCCAGTGCTCCAGTACTGCACACACACACACACACTGCAAACACAGGATTATTTACATTTTCTCCTATTATTATTTTTTTTTTTTCAAGAGCCCAGATTCACTTACTCTTCATTAGTGATACAGTATACTGGGGTTTATGTGCAGTGGGCAGGACAGTTGCTTCAGAATTTGGCTCTGACCAGGTCTCTGTTTTCATGGATAGATTCGTGTTTCTTTCCCCCCGGTTACTCTGGTTTTGTTCCATTTGCCACCAGGAGTCACTCTTGTTTTTGAGTTGTACACTTAGGTGTCCACATCTTCTACCCAAATAAAATTGGGTTTCACCGGGCATAAACTCGTTCAATTTTAGGAAGAGCTTATGTGCTGCCTTCGCTGCTGGAGACCTGCTCGTAGCAGCGAAACTAGCCTTGCACCACAGCCCTCTAGGCCACAATTGCCAGCAGGCTGATTACTGGGGCACACAGCTCCTCCACAGCTGGGGCTGAGCACCATCAAACCCACGTCCTCTACCCCGTCCTCTCTCCTCCTGGAACCCAGAGTCTGAAGCTTACCCATGCCTTGCTGAGGCCTCGGACAAGCCCACCTCAGTTATTTGTGTCTCCTCCTATGCTATCCTTTTATAGTTTTGAATTCTTCCTACCTTTAGGTCTGTTACCTGTTCTGATTAATCTTTGTGAGGGTGTAAGACAGATTGGTCTTCTTTCTTTCTTTTCATGTGGATGTCTTGTTGTTCCAGCACGTTGTGTTACAGAAACTGTCATTGTACTTCTGCCTTTGTTCCTCTGTCAAAGATCAGTTGTTGAAGATTCGTGTGTGGGTCTGTCTCTTGGCTCTCTGTTCTGTGAGTCTGTGCATTCTTTGGCCAGTTTCTCACTGTCCTGATTACTACAGCGTTACACCGAGTCTCCCAGTCAGGCAGTCAGTTCTCCGTTTACTGTCCTGGTTATTTGCCTTTCCATATAACTTCAGATAAATTTGGAAATATTCACAAGAGAATTTGCAAGTGCTAACTGTTAGTGGCTCATGTCTCTACTCCTAGCCATGTGGAGAGGTGGAGATCGGGAGGAGCCCAGGCAAAAAGTATGTGAGACTTCTCCCCAACTAATAGCTGGACAAGGTAGTTCATATCTACTATCCTAGCTACAAAGGAGGTCGAGATCAGTTGGATCATGGTAACAGGCTAGGCCTGTTCAAAAACTTGTGAGACCCCATCTCAACAGAGTAATTGGGCATAGTGTTGTCCACCTGTTATTCTGGCTATATTAGGAAGCATAAATAGGAGTATCAAGATCCAGGTTGGTTTGGGCAAAACACAAGACTCTGTCAAAAATAACCAGAGCAAAATGTGACAGGGATTTGGTTGAAGCAGTAGAACATCTGCTTAACAAGTGTGAAGCCCTGAGTTCAAATCCCAGTGCCACCAGAAGACATAAAATAATTCCAAGAATTTTGATTGGGATTGCATTTGATCCCAATCCAGAAAGAACTGATGTCTGACAATGCTGAGTTTTTCTGTCCATGGGTATAGCATATGCCTCTTTATTTAGTTCTTTTATTTCATTTTTCAGTGTTTTGTAGTTTCCCTCATAGATACTATGTATGTCTTCTTAGATTTATGCTGACATATTTCAGATTTAAGGGACTGTATTGGAATGTGATTGACTTACATGCTTAACTTAAAATTCTGTAACCTTGTTGTAGTCATATCAATTATAAGAGCTCTTTTTAAAATTTGTTTTACATTTTCCACATAATTATACCAATGGAGAAAGATAGCTTTATTTTTTTACCTTCCAAATCTCTATACCTTTTATTTCCTTCCTAGACTTTGCCTTATTCCTAATCTCAATGGGAACACCTCTCATTTTTTACTATTAAGTATGATGTTAATAGATCCCAGTAGGTATTCTTTATCAACTTGAGAAAGTTTCCCTCTATTTCTAGTTTCCAAAGAGTGTTTTTTTTTTAAACTCACACATAGGTATTATATTTTGTTGTGCTTTATTTCTCCATCTGCTGACATTATTCTGTGATTTTTGTTTTTAGCCTGTTGATGTCTGAGGAATTGTATTAATTGATTTTCAACTATTGGCCTGGTCTTACTTATCTAGGATAAATTCCATGTGGCCATGGTATATAATTCTTTTAATATGTTGTTAATTTAATTTGTTAACATTTGTTGAGGATTTTTGTATCTGTGTTTATAAGAGAAACTGATCTGTGTTTTTCTTTTCTAGTTATATCCTAGTCTAATTTTGACATTGGGGTTATGCCAGCTTCATAGAATGAAGTACCAAGTATTCTCTGTGCTTCAAGCCTCTGAAAGAGATCACAGAGAATTGATAAAATTTCTTCTTAAATGTCCACTGGAATTTACCATTGAGCCCACCTTTCCATTTTGGATAGTTAATCAAAAAGACGGCTTAAGCCAGGCACTTGTGGCTCATGTATAATCATGATTTACTCATGCATGTAATCCTAGTAACTCAGGAAGCTGAGATCTCTAGGCTTGAGGTTCAAGGCCAGCCTAGGCAGAAAAGTTTGTTATACTCTCTCCAAAATAACCAGCAAAAAAGCAGGACTGGGAGTATGTGTAGCTCAAGTGATAGAGTGCAAGTCTTGAAACAAGCAAGCTCGAGAGACTGAATCAAAACCCCAAGTGCCACCATCAAAACTAAAGAAAGAGATACATAAATGTATTATATATATTTGTTTAGACTTGTTAATTTTCTTTGTAAATCCTAATTCTGTTGAAAACTAAAGAAAGCAATATTCAGGTCAGATGGTGGAGCTGCAACTCCACTTCTGGCTTTTTTGGTGCTTAATCAGTCTCACAAGCTTTCTTGCCTGGGCAGGCTTCGAACCATGATCCTCAAATCTGTCTCCTGAGTAGGATTGCTGGTGTGAGCCACTGGTGCCCAGCAAGAAAGCAATCTGAATTGCTTGCTGTACCAAAAATCTATGAGTACACATTTTATGTGGGGTTTTTTTTGGGGGAGGGGGGCAGTCGTGGGCCTGGACTCTGGGCCTGGGCGCTGTCCCTCAGCTCTTCACCTCAAGGCTAGCGCTCTACCACTTGAGCCACAGTGCTTTTTTTGAGCCACTTCCAGCTTTTTTTTTTTTTTCTGCGTATGTGGTGCTGAGGAATCGAACCCAGGGCCTCATGCATGCAAGGCAAGCGCTCTACCACTGAGCCACTGTCCCAGCCCATGAGTACACATTTTATAATTGCTGTAAATATGAGCCTTCCCAAAGCAGTTTTTCAGTGTGTGACAAGACATTTAATAGACCCAACTATGTTGATTGTCTGTAGAATTTAAGCCAAGATTATTTGCATTTATACTTAGCAATTGGTATGTCAGTATTTTAACTTCCTTAGAAATGACTGAAACAGAGCTGGGAAGGTGGCTCAGTGGTAGAGTGCTTGCATTGCAAGCATGAGGCCCTGGGTTTGATTCCTCAGCACCATATAAGCAGAACAAATCAGAAGTGGTGCTGTGGCTCAAGTGGTAGAGCTCTGACTCAAACATTTTGTGAGTATACTCTAAATAACACAAAAAGGGCTGGGAATGTGGGTTAGTGGTAGAGTGCTTGCCTACCATGCATGAAACCCTGAGTTTGATTCCTCAGTACCACATAAACAGAAAAAGCCAGAAGTGGCACTGTGGCTTAAGTGGTAGAGTGCTATCCTTCAGCAAAAGAAGCTTAGGGACAGTGCCCAGGCCCTGAGTTCAAGCCCCAAGAGTGGCAAAAAAAATGCCTAACAAGTGCAAAGACCTGTGTTCAAGCCCAAATACCACAAAAACAAAAAACCTTCATATGTTCGTATACACATGTGTGTATATGATATATGCACATGATTCAATTTATATTTAATATGACATGCCAACATGATAATGCACACATACATATATGTGATTACATTTATATGAAATGTCTAGAATGGGAAAATATAAAATACACAAAGAAGATGTTACTGGTTGCTTAGAGCTAGGGGTCCAGCTAGGGAATAGGGGGGTGTGGGTATGCAAAGTTTCTTTCTGAAGTGAGAACAATATTCTAAAATTGATTGTAATGATGGTGATTATATTTGTGATGTGATTATATATTTGTGATTATTGTGATTATGATTTTTTGCGAGCCCTTTTTGCATTATTTATTTATTTATTTATTTATTTTTGTCCGTCATGGGGCTTGAACTCTGGGCCTGGTGCTGTCCCTGAGCTCTTCAGCTCAGGGCTAGTGCTCTACCATTTGAGCCTCAGCTCCACTTCCGGCTTTTTTTCTGCTTATGTGGTGCTGAGGAATTGAACCCAGGGCCTTGTGCATGCTAGGCAAGCACTCTACCAGTGAGCCACCTTCCCAGCCTCTGCATTGTTTATTTTTGAGGTAGTGTCTTGCTTTATCCTAGGGCCTGCCTTACTGAAATCCCTATAATTATGCTCCCCAATTGCTGAGAATAACAGGTGTGCAATTATTGGATTTGCAGTGATAGCTCAGTATGATTTTGATGTGTATTTTCCTGATGATTAATAATGTTGAACAGCAATTTTTGTGTGCTTATTGCTATCTACATGAATAAATGTTCATAACAGTCATAAATGGGAAAGACAGGATTGTGGAAACTTTGTAAAAGAATATTATAAATATCTTAACATAGATTCTTAATAAATATTTGAATAATGTATTAATATTGGTCTAGTTAGCTATCTTCAGTGTGTATGATGTATGTTTTCTTATTCCTAAATGTAGTTCTAATTGTTTGTTCTGTTTTATTTTCAGAGTGCGCATTTGGCCATGATAGACACCCTGATGATGGCTTACACTGTAGAGATGGTCAGCATAGAAAAAGTGATTGGGTGTGCTCAACAGTATTCAGCCTTTTTTCAAGCCACAGATCTGCCCTATGATATTGAGGATGCTGTCATGTACTGGATAAATAAGGTAGGATTATACTCAACATAAGTAAAAATGAATCTACTAACTAGAAAAAGTCATTTTTTTTTTTGTCGGTCATGGGGCTTAAACTCTGGTATTGGGCGCTGTCCCTCAGCTCTTCAGCTCAAGGCAAGCGCTGTAACCACTTGAGCTACAGCACCACTTCCCATTTTCTGAGTGGTTAACTGGAGATAAGAATCTTACACCAGACTTTCCTGCCTGGGCTGGCTTCAAACCTCAATCCTCAGATCTCAGTCTCCTAAGTAGCTAGAATTATAGGTGTGAGCCACTGGTGCCAGCGAAAAAGTGAATTTTTTTTTTTTTTGGTCCAGTCATGGGGCTTGAACTCTGGGCCTGAGCGCTGTCCCTCAGCTCTTCAGCTCAGGGCTAGCGCTCTACCACTTGAGCCACAGCACCACTTCCGGCTTTTTTCTTTTTGCTTATGTGGTGCTGAGGAATCGAACCCAGGGCCTCAGGCATGCAAGGCAAGCGCTCTACCACTGAGCTACCTTCCCAGCCCCAAAAAAGTGTATTTTTAAATTATTCATTGCCACTTGATTACTTTTGATTTAAGTCAGATTGAAAGCTGAAGTTGTGTGTTCTACTTGAATTATTTTGTTTCAGGTTCAAGACTAGACTTGAACTTGCTATACGATTCTTTACGTGTTTGGTAGGCATCCTACCACCTCAGCTGCGTTGGGTCAGTTAAGGCTTCCAGTGCATGCTTGTCTCTCCTTAAACTCAGTCTTTACCTATAAAACCCATGTAATTCTTGTGAAGTTTCAAAGTGGACCCCCTTGGTGTTCACCATGCCCCCCTCTGTTTGAGGGACGTGACTGCCTTGCCTGCCATGATAGCTTCTTTAGTCTAATTCTTTTTTGTTCCCTCAACTCCTTGGAGTATTTCTTATGCATTCATGGAGCTCAGGGAAAAAAAAAATCTGAGATTACTTTTTTACCTGCAGACTTTGTGTCTTCCCCAATTACATATCCATCCTTCTTAGGATAGTTTTCCTCAATATCCATTCCCTGTGACACTATCAGATTTCTCAAGCCAACAGAATTACAGTTTTCTGCTTACTTTCAAGTACTGTGCACTATTTGAATAGTGACAAAGGCCATATAAACATGAGTTCATTCAGTGGAGGTCCTTCAGTAGATTTTATTTATTTATTGGTCCTGGAGCTTGAATTCAGAGCCTGAACACTGTCCCTGAACTCTTTTTCTCAAAGCTAGTGCTCTATTACTTTGAGCCACAGCACCACTTCCTAGTTTTTTGATGGTTAATTGGAGATGAGTTTTTTTTAATACACACATGCACATAATATATATGTTTGATGCTTGGAACTGAACCCAGAACTTCACATACTCATACCACTAAGCTCTGTATGCAACCCGTCCTTTTTTGCCCAGAGCCACTATTTTATATTTTTTCCCGAATTTATATTTTATATTGTGTCCAGAGGTTTTGCATGATACATGCCTAATAGTTGAATACATGATATTTGTGGAATAAGCTATTATCAGAACTGGAACGCTCCCAGTTTCTTTTTATACTGCAGCTTGGATCATATCATGTCATCCTTTTACTTAAAACTTTTGGGGGCCTTACTTTGTATTTAAATAAGAAGTAACATTTATTACAATCTGGAACCATCTGATCTGACCTCTGTGCACTTCGCCATCCAAGGCTCATGGCCACCGTCTCTTTCTCATTTCTCTTACTTCATTCCAGCTGTGTGGCCTTTCTCACCCCTGGACCATTGAGCATGATGTTTCCTGCTCGTAGGCAACTCATCTCCCAACTCACCGCATGGCTTGGTGCTTCTCTGCTCCATCACCTCTCGACTTGGGTAGCACTTTTTTCCACAATCGTATTAAAGTAGGCATGTGCCAACCTTAGTTTTATGCTTTTAGCACTGTTTTTTTTTTTTCTTGCGTAGCACTTTTCAGAGTTGCTAATTACTGAATCATTTGTTTTTGTTTTCTTTTTAATCTATATTACACCCTACTTGAATAGTCTATGTGAATGGGCACTATGCCCATCTTTCTTTTTAGTTTAAGGTCTTAGATCATCAGGAGGTTTGGTTATATGATATGATGTTTAGTCAACATTTACTAAACTAGTAAGTAGTCCAAATTACAGAATAGCTAGACAGCTTTAGCACTTCAGACACTTACACAAAGATAAAGTAATTTAATAAGGAACATTGTAGAATTTTTATAGCCATAACCCAACCTGGTCAATTTTTAGATGAAGTTTTGAATCATTTGATTTAATCTCAACCTCAAGAGTATTTTTTCTGGCTCCATTTACCGGCCCCCGAGTCATTATCTGTTCTTAGTACTACTTTACCCTGCTGTCTCAAGCTTACTATGTGTTTTCTTTTTCAGACGTTTATTTTAGCTCCTTTGAATCTCACTGCCTTTTCTGCTCTTGGATAATGCATCCATGAGTCTAAAAGAAACTTACAGAAAAGGGATATGATGTGGTTGAAATAGTTTTCAGCATTTGTAGCTATAATGAATTTAAACATAAAAACCTAAAAGCTAAATCCAAGATTTTACTGGTTATTAAGTAGAGATAACACAGGAGTTATTATTTTGTGAACCTCTCATGGTTTACTCCTACCTCTTTCCAGTCTCATCCTGTAAGTCCTCTTTTTTATTTTACTGTGCTCTCCTCTTACCTTTCTTCATTCAGTTATTTAGGAACCAAGGATTTTTTGGTACCACTGGGGCTTTGCTGGTGTTTTTCATGTTCTGTCTAGACTCGCCCTTTCCTCTTCACTTATTTTGGTTAGGCTCTTTTTCTCTGGTCTCAGATTACAGTTAGTTATCTCTTAGTCTGTCCCTAACAGAACTTATTTCTCACATTTCTGGAAGCTAGGAAGTGGAAGATCAAAGTATCAGCATCTTCACAGTGAGCTCTCTGCTTCAAAGATGCTGGCTTCTTGTGTCCATGTTCACATGACGGGAAGATCAGGGCTCTTCCTTCAACCTCTCGAATGCACTGATCTCATCTGGGAGGGCAAAGCCTCAGGACATATTCCTTCTCAAAAGGCCCCTCCACCGGCTACTGTCGCACCGAGTATTTCAGTGTATGGCTTTGGAGGGGTAAACATGCAGACTGTATAGCAGAGGTCTTTATGAAACAACCTTCTTTTCTGAAGTCTCCCGGTTCCCTTCTTTCAAGGACCATTTTGGCTCTATTCTAACCAGACACACAATTGGCATTCAGTAAATGTAGTTAATGAACAATGCATTAAAATGTTGATTTGTGACTGGTTTTGTTTTGTGAATAAAATTGGGTAAAACTATTTTTTAGAAAAATCATTAAAATGATTTCCAAATTGGCAAACCAGTTACAGCTACTTAGTGGTAAACTGGAAAAGAATTTCTTTGTCCAAGGAAAAAAAGGGAATGAAAACATAGAAAGGAAAGGGAGGGAAGCAAGGAAAGACAAAAGGTGATAAACCTTCCTATATTTTGGTCCTATATTCCTTGCCTGTCACTGGTACATAGTACATACGGAGTGCTTAAATGATGTGCAGAGGTTGTAAAACTTCCTTATAAGGCGTGTACCAAATCAGAACATGTTAGTGATTTTCTCACTGTGTCAGACTGTTATAAACACCTAGAAATGCTTGATAAAATATAATTAGAAAAGTTTATAGTAAAAAGCTGACTAAGAAAATTCTACACTAAGAAAATTCTACACACACACACACACGCACGCACGCACGCACGCACACACACACACACACACACACACACACAGAGTCGGTCTTTCTCCCCACTTTGTTTCTCTTGGTGGCCAAGGGCATTAATGTCCTCTAGAAATGTCATTATAAGTTTTACTTACTGTTACCACAGTGATCTTACAATTTGAAGTCAAAATTTGTGCAAAGTGTTTTCAAGGAATAGTTTATATACAAGGTTACTTAAAGTTTTTTATGCTTTTTTGGATTATGGGCTATCTAATGTTGAATAATCCAAAAGGTGTTAAATTAGGCCTTCTCCTGAGAAGCATTTTCAAGTGTAGAATTTTGTCTCTCAACTGTGGCTTTTTGACTCCGTAAAACTCTCCCACGAAACATTGGTGTATGTGAAATCACTGCTAATGAATGCATTTACAGTGTTTGTTGATAATCATGAACTTGGTTAACTTTAGTAAAACAATTTTCATTTACCAGTTCTAAAATAGATTAAAATTTTTACACTTAGTACTCTTACCTCTTCAATATTAAAATTTGTATTATTAATTCTCTTTTATTTTTAGAGCATTAAATAGTTCTTAAGGTTTTTTTCCTGGTTGTTAAAATGCCATTTTCTTCATTTGTGTGGTAATCATATTTGAGCTCAGAGATCTGACCAGACATATTAAAGTACATCTTGCTCATTGTTACATTTGAATTGTTATAATTTGAATTCATGTTTTTATATTTTAAGGTAAATGAGCATTTGAAAGACATAATGGAACAAGAACAGAAAATGAAAGACCCTCACACAGTTGAAGCTCCAGGAGGGCAAAAGGTATAAAACCCTGCATGTGCGTATATTCACTTATAGGTCTTATTTGTGGAAATATTAATAGTTAGATTTATTAAAATTTTCAGTGTTGTTGACTGTACTCTAGGAAACGACATCATAAACACTGAATAGGAATACCAAATGAAGGCTTATAAGGTGATACTGTGAAAAAATTATTAATGACTGGAACTTAATTCTGAAACTTTTTGGCAATAATAGTGTTGGAAAAAATGAATAAAACAACAAGAAAATAATTTTAAATGTAAAGACCAACCTTTCTAATGATATTCTTGGAACTTAAAGTTGTTTGATATGCTTCATTGGAAAAGACTTAGTCTTTTAGATGTAGTCTTTAACATTTCTTTTTGTGCTGGTCCTAGGGCTTGAACTTAGGGTCTACGTGCTGTGCCTGTGTTTCTTTTGCTCAAGGCTAGCACTGTTGAGCCACAGCTCCACTTCTGGCTTTTTTGTATGATTAATTAGAGATAAGAATCTCACAGACTTTCTTGCCTGGGCTGGTTTTGAACTGTGATCCTCCTAGGTCAGCCTCCTGAGTAGCTGAGATTGCAGGGGTGCAGCTGCTAGTGTCCAGCTAAGTTTCTCTCTTTGAAACTGATTCTTTTTCATGTACTTGGATCTAAAATACACTTTCAGCAACATAGAGTATATTTTATGTCTTATAGCATGCAGGGTGATTTCTAAGCACATGTAGTATAAGAAGTTATCATTGTTCATAGACCTTCTCCCCACTACCCTGTGCTGAATCGTTCATCTTTGTTGGAGTCCTTTCCCCGAAAGGTTGATTAGAATGTAAATCTCCTTTTTGATTAGAATATAAATCTCTCTCACCCCAGATTACATATTTCCTGTTCCTGTCCCTCCACTCGCACCTTCCCCATCCTCTCCTGTCCGTTTCCCTCCTTCTCTCTTTTCCATAATGTAGACATTGCTCAGGAGAGCTTACAGTGTAGCCCTGGGTAAGAATGAAATTAAGGTGCCATCATTCTCAGTTATAATACTAATGGAATTTTCCAGAGGAATCTTGTTTATTATGTATAATAAGTTCTGTATTACTAGATATACATTATAAACAAATAGGGATTTTATATGTTGAAAACGAACTTTACAACTTTGGTGCGGGGAGGGGGGGAGGATGGGAAGGGGAAACAAAGGAGGAGGCTACAATGCTTGATAAGAAATGTACTCATTATCTTGCCCATGTAATTGTAAACCCTCTGTACAGTATTTTCACAATAAAAAAAAGAATAATAAAAAAATAGGGATTTTGTATGTAATGTAGGACTCAATAAATATTTCTGTGGGAAGAAAATATCATTTGTGTTTCGAACAAACAGATTGAATAACATTTACAAAAACTGGAATTTAGACAGTATTTCAATTATACCATGATAACTCTTTTATAGCTCTTAGGCCTCATGCAGTTGCCCTTACTAACTGAACAATGTTGAATGAATAAACACATGACTGTGGGTTTTATTTAACACATAGTATTTACATCTTCATGTACAAGTGTACATGATAAAGAAACATATATATTATGAAGAAATGTACTCTTGGCAGGCACTGGTGGCTTACACCTGTAATCTTAGCTACTCAGGAGGCTGAAATCTGAGGATCGCAGTTCAAAGCCATCCTGGACAAGAAAGTCCACGAGATTCTTATCTCCAATTAACCACCAAAAGGATGGAAGTAGAGCTATGGTTTAAATGGTAGATCACTAACCTGAGTTGAAGCCCTAAGACTGGCACACACAAAACAAACAAAAGACATATTCTCACAGAATAAATTATTCCACTTGTGTGTATGTCATTATGGAAGCTTGAACTAAAGGCCTTGAGTTCTTGCTCAGCTTTTTTGCTTGCAGTTGGTGTTCTATCAGTTGAGCCTTAGCTTCACTTCCAGATTTGTTGGTTAATTTAAATCTAGGAGGCTGGCTTTAAACCAAAATCCCCATTACCTCCGCCTCTGAAATAGCTAGGATTAGAGGTGTTAGCCTTGGAGGACCGGCACATTGATTATTTTCAAGGCAGAGTCTTATTTATTTCTGGGTTGTCCTGGACTGCCATCCTCACTGCTTCTCATTGCGGGGGTTATGATAGTCACACACCACTGCGCCCAGCCATCGTGTGTCCACCCTAGCAGCATGTGCCACCTCTCCCAGCTATTGGCTGAGATGAAGTCTCTTGAACGTTTATGCCGGGGCAAACTTCAAGCCTTGATCTCCTCCTTCCACCTCCTCCTCCTGAGTAGCTAGAATTGCAGGTTTGAGTCACTGTATCTTACTGCATTCATTAAAGAAAAATTATGCCAGATGCTGGTAGCTCACGCCCACGATCGTAGCTACGCAGGAGACTGAGAGCTGAGTATCACAGTTTGAAGCCAGCCTGGGCAGGAAAGTCTGTGAGACTCTTATCTCCAATTAACCACCAGAAAACCAGAAGCAGTGTGGTGGCTCAAGGTAGTAGATACTAGACTTGAGTGAAAAAGCTCAGGGACAGTGCCCAGGCCTTGAGTTCAAGCCCCTCAACTGACTAGAAAGGGAAAATTTATATTCTTTTGGGTATTTCTAGATAGAAAATTTATTGTCACTTATTATTTTCAGTCAATTCTACTACTTTGCTATTTGCTCTGTACTTTCACTTATTAGAATGATCTTTCTTTTCTTCTTTTCCCTTAAAAAAAGATGGGACTTGGTCTAATTCTGTTTAAAATTTCTGATTATAATTCTAGCCCTAGGGTCTTTGTGCTTTTCTTTTACAATATGGATTTATTTTCAGTCTGATCTCAGAAATGAAATTCTTTTCTGTCAAAATATACAGCATATCCTAGGTATCCTAAAACGAGTTTTGCTATGGGAAAAAAGGGGTGGAGAAGGGGCTGCTGGTCTTTCTTATTAGAAACCTGTATGTTTTTAACTAAATTATTAATTTACATATGACAATGTTATGAAAACTATAAACTTGGAATCCACTATCAGAAACTCTGCTAAAATTTGTTTATTGATGATAATGCTGATGAATTTTTCCCTTTACCTTTTGCTTTCCCCCTTTTTTTCTGCTGCTTCCTCTGAAGTCTCCTTCCAAATGGTTTTGGAAACTGGTTCCAGTAAGTTTACCCACCTATTTCAACTTGTTCTCCAGAATCCATTTGTAGAACGGTATCGTTTATGTCTTGCTGGTAGAGTTGTTTATTGTAATTCTATCACTGAATAGCAATTGGATTTTAAAGTATCTGATCAGAATGTAAAATCAAAGACAATAGATCTAGACAAGGTTAGAATTTAAAAATTTTTAATGACTTAGAGAATGAGCATCTTTTCGCTGATCTTAATAGAATATTCACATGCCATCAGTGACTTAGTAACCAGCAGAGACAGCCTGAGGGCTGCAGAGTCTCAGCAATTTTAATCATTTTAGTGAAGATGAATTTGCATTTATGTGTGAATTATCTGTAATTTATCTTTTTGGTAGAATTGTAGATGGTACTTCACTTTTTTTGTGACTGAAAAGGAAAGCAAAACTTTCTCTGTGCCCTCACCAGTATTGGACCTAAACTATATTGAATTCTGATTGGACTTGAAGGAGCAATATTTTAAATAAGGTTTGGAGGGGCTGGGTTAAACCATGTAAGAACTATTTCACAACATTAGTAGTAAAAATATGCTATAAATGTTGACATATAGAAAATACGGACTTCTTTTTGAATGCCAAATTTTCAAGTTTGTAGAAAGAATAGGAAACATTCCATGCAATGTGTTTGTAAATCATATAGCATGCCCAAATATAAAAGGTTCTGTGTAACTTTTGTGAACTACAAATAAACTGTCTCATTGAGAATTATATATAACTTCAGTTTTAATGCTGATTTACTTGTAATTTTCAAGAAAGTGTAGGGCATGACAGTTGTAATTGTCTGATTTGATTGTCAAGTCTAAACCACAGACACGTATTATTAGCACATACAAACACACACATCCTCTGTCCAGCGTGCTGCTTGGCAGAAGGAAATAACAGCATACAACTCAGTCCTTTATTCATCAGTCAAGTCCAGTTCTGACCTGGGCACCCAGTTGAGCCCAGTCTTGATTCTGAATAAGCAAGGAAAAGTGGTGAGGATCTGGAGCAAGGCATTAGAAATATGGAAAATAGCTTAGGGCTAGGAGATCTGCTGGCTGATTTCTTCTTTCTTGGTTTCCTTTCTCTGCTCACCTTCTGCTCTTCTCTTTCCTCCTCTCTTTTCATAGTTTTTTTTTTTTTTTTTCTTTTTTTTTGGGGTCCGGTCGTGGGGCCTGAACTCTGGGCCTGGGTGCTGTCCCTCAGCTCTTCAGCTCAAGGCTAGCGCTCTACCACTTGAGCCATAGCGCCACTTCTGGCTTTTTTTCTTTTTGCTTATGTGGTGCTGAGGAATCGAACCCAGGGCCTCATACATGCAAGGCAAGCGCTCTACCACAGTTTATTTTTAAACTGTCTCCTATAAGCAAATGGAGAAGTTTTCTGTAAAAATTGTAATGAAAGAAACTGTGTTATATGTGTAATTATTTCTGAACATAGGCACACTATCTAGTTAGAAATATGTCATTAATTACAGATGTCTAGCTTGCACTGATTAATAAGAACAGGTCCTCCAAAAATCTTCATGAGGAAAACATGTATTGTGATTCTTGTCCTTGGCCAGCTAGTAAGAGAGACACAGGAATAAATACATTCTTCATACTGTTTGTCTGAAGGATATTATTTTAAAGAAATCTGAATTTACCTCCAGATGTTAAGTGTTCTTTTTAGTGAACTTGATTTTTTTCTATTTTTATTCACACACAGGTGAATTATAAAATTAATTATAAAATGTAAGCGGTCCACTGGTGGCTCACGCCTACAATCCTAGCTACTCAGGAGGTTGACAGCTGAAGATTGTTTTTGGTCAACATTTGAATGACAAAACAGTGTATCTTTTGTGCTGTTAGGATCACCATTTCCCAAATGATGGGTTTTGTTTGTTTGTTTTTGTTGGTTGTGGGGCTTAAACTCAGATCCTGGTCCCTGTCTCTGAGCCTCTTTGTGCTCTAGGCTAGAGCTCTACCACTTGAGCCACAGAGCCACTTCCAGTTTTTGAGGGGTTAATTGTAGATGGGCTGGCTTCAAACCACCATCCTCATATCTTAACTTGCTGAGTAGCTAGGATTACAGGCATGAGCCACCAGCACCTGGCCAAAGTGATGTTTTGTACCTTCAAATTTCTTTTTTCTTTTTTTTTTTGCCAGTCATTGGGCCTGAACTCTGGGTCTGGGTGCTGTCCCTCAGTCTTCAGCTCAAGGCTAGCGCTCTACCACTGGAGCCACAGCGCCACTTCTGGCTTTTTCTGTTTATGTGGTGCTGAGGAATCGAACCCAGGGCCTCATGCTTGCAAGGCATGCACTCTACCGCTGAGCTACCTTCCCAGCCCTTCCAAATTTCTTTTACATGACAATATTCTCCCTCCACCTTCCCATTCCTCAATTTTTATAACTCTTGTAATTTTTTTTGTTCAAGTGGTACTTTTGTTCTTCCCACATAAATATTTTTAGTATTCCTGGGTAAAAAGTTTCCATCTCAATAAAATTTAATTTTAAAGTAAGTGATTGTTTTAAATCTGCAAATGAACAGAACTGAGCATATATATGCAAAGTGTTCAAATCTGTTCTGTAACTGTAAGCACATAAACTAAATATCATTTCATGTAAATTCATAATGTTCTGTCACATGCGTGAGCTTTCAGTTCTTTTGCTGTGTATTTAACTTGGATAATTTATAGTAGTATTTAGAAAAGAAGGATATTGGTGAATACTCTCCTCTTTGCTTGTATTTTCTTACTGGTACTTTAGAGTCTACAATTCTTATTTATTCCCTGGGTATTGCTTAGTACTTAACCTTTTCCCCATCTTCTCTTTCCCTTTTTCTCCCTCCTCCCCCTTCTCTCAGGCTCGTTATAGGAAAGAACAAACATTGCTTAAGCAACTGCCTTGCATTCCATTGGTAGAAAATCTGTTAAAGGACTGCACCGACGGCTGTGCCTTAGCTGCCCTCATTCACTTCTACTGCCCCGGTGTTGTCAGGTTAGAGGGTAAGTGCTCCACCAAGACGTTTTTGAACTGCACACAGAGGGCAACAAAAGTTTGTTTAAGACAGTGACTTAATAATTAATCAAGGCTTTTTAGAGAAGAAACAGTGAAGTATAACCTGAGGAAGATAACTGAGAACTTCTGTGTGATAATATTTGTGAAAATTTGGTTGCTAGAGTCACATGTTTGTACTAAGTACTAATTAGGAAATAGCTAGGAAATGTTTATCAGATTAAGCCTAAATCATCATCTTGCTCTTTATTTGAAGATATTTGTTTGAAAGAAACTATGTCTTTGGCCGATAGCCTGTACAATCTGCAGCTGATTCAGGAATTTTGCCAAGAATACTTGAACCAGTGTTGCCATTTCTCCCTGGAAGATATGCTCTATGCTGCTTCATCTATAAAGGTAAAATTAAGTTCTTTTTTGCCCTTACATTGTTATAATATGTTTAAAAAATTGAAGAGAAATCATTGGCCTGGTTACAGTAAGTTTACAGATTATATTAGTGAAAAGAAATTAAAAACATTACTGGCCTTCTCTTTCTTTTTTTTTTTTTTCTTTTTCTCTTTCTTTTAATGCCAGCCTTGGGATTTGAACTCAGGGCCTGGACACAGTTCTTAAGTTTCTTTTGCTTAGGGCTAGCTAGCACTCTACCTTTGAGCCACAGCTCCACATCTCACTTTTTGGTAGTTAATTGGAGGTAAGAGTCTCACAGACTTTCCTGTCCAGGCTGGCTTTGAACTGTGATCCTCAGATCTCAGACTCCTGAATAAGATTATGGGCGTGAGCCACTGGCACTCAGCTTAGTCTTCTTTTTCTTGAAAATTCTTCAATAATTTCAAAAGTAAAGTCATGTTATATACATATGTAATATCCAGTTATAAAATGCTGTATTTTATGCCTATTTTATGTGTATAATGAATATTTTAACATTAAACTGAAATTCAGTCCATTCTCACTAGGTCCTATGTAGTTGTTCTTTAGTGATGAGACTGTTTGATATTGGTCACCTTTATCATCATTTGACATTTGGTCAATTTTTGCTTTCAGATTTTATGAAAAGAATAATTAAAATTATTTTACTGAGTATCACTTTCTTAACTATAATTTAAATATATTTTATTTCCATTGATATTAAAGTGATAATCACAATGGATTTTATTATTATCGTTATTAACGTATTAATTAGACAGGCGAATGGACCCTGTTTCAGTATTTACATATGTACATAGTTGTACCGTGATCATGTCCACATTCTCTTCTATCACCCTCGCTTCTCCCCCCCATTTCCTTTCCTGGTGTAGTGCTTTGCTACTTCCAGGTCATCCTTAAACATTTCTTTAGCTCATATATGATAGCATAGGATATTCTCTCTCTGTTTGGCTTATTTTGCTGAATGTGATTCCCTCCAGTCCCGCCCCTTTTCCTGCATATGACAGAGCTTCCTTCTGCCTTCTCCCTGCCTCTGTAGTGCTAGGAATTATGCCATGGTTTTTCCCACACTAAGCAAGTGCTCTATGTACTCAGCAGTTTCATTTTCTTTGTGTACAGTTAGTCACTATGTGTGTTTGTGTGTGTACGTATATGTGTGTGTATGTATATATTCCATTTATCTGTTGACAGATGCCATAACTTGGCATTATTGTGAATAGCACTGCAGTAAACATAGGTATGCAAGTGTCTCCTTTGTATGCTGACACATCATTTTCTTTAGCTATATACCCAGTAATGATGTAGATGGATCACATAGTCATTCCACATTCATTCATTCATTCATTCATTTATTGATCATGGGCCAGACCTCAGTCTGCTCAGTAGCTAGGATTACAGGAGTGAGCCATCAGCGCCTGGCCCACTTTTAGTTTTTTGTAGAACCTCCACACTGTTTTCCAGAGTGGCTAGACTAATATACATTACCATCAAATGTACTAAGAGGTTCCTTTTCTCTGTACCTTTGCTAGTGGATCGTTCTTTTTTATTTTTTTCTTGTTATTGTTGACATATATTCATGGATTGGCAGAATTAATAGTTATAATGGCCATATTACTGAAAGCGACTTTCAGATTCAATGTAATCTCGGTAAAAATTCCAGTGATTGTCTTCACAGAAAGAGGAAAAAAGAAATCCTAAAAAAAGGTATTGTTTCACTACATGACATTCTGACCAATAAAGTCCTTTGTAAACCAGAGGTAGGTTGGTCTGGATGGACTTGCTGCTGAATTTTACCAGACTTTTAAAGAATTCCAATGTTCCTCAAACCACTCCTTAAGATAGAAAGAAGGCACCCTTCCAGACTTATTCTAGGAAGCCAATACTCCTTTGCTTCCAAAGCCTGATAAAGACATAATAAAAGGCCAGGTGCCGGTGACCCCCCCCCCCCCCACACACACACCCATAGGAGACTTAGGTAAGAATTGGGGTGGTGTCTTAGTAGGACCTGAATTGAAATGTTTTGTGATACAATTGAACTCTTTTTTTTTTTTTTTCCCCTGCTTATGTGGTGCTGAGGAATCGAACTGAGGGCCTCATGCTTGCAAGGCAAGCGCTGTACCACTGAGCCACCTTCCCAGCCCCCCAAATTCCTCTTTTGTACTTGTGCAGTCAGCCCTCTAAACTCTTTGGGTTCCACTTCTGTGGAGTCAACCAAGCACACTGAACATATTTGGAAAAAGTTACTTTTATTCTAAACATAGACATACTTTTTGTGATTTTTTTTTTCTATAAACAATTCAATGTACTAACTATTTACATGGCATTTACATTGTATTAGATAGATATTGTAATAACCTTTCAGTATTATAAGTAATTCAGAGGTGTTTTACATATCCTGGAATGAGGATGTATACATAATATACCATTTTATGTGAGAGACTTGAGTGTTTACAAACCTTCACTGGTAAGTACTGGGGAAAAAAGTAGATGACAGAAGAAGGACTGTAAAAGGGTATACGGGGGACCTAGGGGAGGGGCTAAGGCATACCTTAATTTCTATCCTGTATTCTCTTTATCTATTTCCTGTTGTTGACACTGTTTAATTATTTAACTGTACTTGATTTAAGAAGCAAAGATTTTAAGTGAAATTAATGTGCTGTCAGTCCTGGAATATGATGGCAATTTATTGTCATTTCATCATCATAATTTCAGAAGAAGAAAAAAACCCTTCATGAGCCTTGGAAACTATCTCTTGACTGCACTGCCATCTTGTGGCCGAACAATACAATTATATTATTAGGAATTATTAAGAGTACAATTATGTTATTAGATCCTTAAAATATTTTAATATAATTTATTGTTATTATTAAGGTAACAGCAGGTAATTATTGAGCACTAATGCAGTAGTTTTCCAAAATATAGTCAGCTTTTGGTTAACTTTACTAGTAGAGTAGAACCCAGCACCAACACCTAAGAATTTATTACATACTTTTCACTTCAGATAGCATACTATAAAGTATAAAGAAAAAATATAAATCACAGCAATCTTATTACCCAGTAGATTGTGTTAGCTTTTTGTTGCTGTGACAAACATGGGAGAAGAGGAACTTGAAGGAGGAAGGATTATTTGGCTCTTGGTTTCAGAGGTTCCAGGCTGTGGTCCGCTGGCCGGGCTCCGTTGTTTGGAGGCTGGTGGTGAGGCAGAGCGTCCTGGTGAGGAGGTGTGGAAGGACCAAGCGGACGAGCGGCAGAGAGCATCGTGCGCTAGAGGGCTGCTTCCCGCGGTTTATTTCATGCCATCTGGGTGTCCCCACATTTAGGATGGGTCTTCCCCTCCTTAGTTCATTGTCTCTGGAGACATTCTCACGGCCACCCAGAGATGTGCTTTTCTAATCGTAGTCCAATCAAGCTTTAACCATCAGATACTCATCAGAGAAACTCCTAGCAACATTTGAATATTTTGAGTAGTCTTTTTTGCTATGCGTGGATTGATACACTTGTATATTTATTTCATAAATATTTATTGAGTGTGTGTTGTGTCCTGGGTAGGTTTTTTTTTTTGGGGGGGGGGTCCCGTTGTGGGGCCTGAACTCTGGGCCTAGGCGCTGTCCCTCAGCTCTTCAGCTCCAGGCTAGCACTCTACCACTTGAGCCACAGCACCACTTCTGGTTTTTTCTTTTTGCTTATGTAGTAGTGAGGAATCGAACCTAGGGCCTTATGCATGCAAGGCAAGAGCTCTTCCACTGAGCCACCTTCCCAGCCCCGTCCTGGGTAGTTTTTAAGACAATTGTGCAGGTGGCTTCTGCTTGTAATTCTAGCTACTCAGGAGGCTGAGATCTGAGCATGGCGGTTTGAAGCCAATCTGGGCAGGAAAGTCTGTGAGACTTATCTCCAATAAACTACTCAGAAAAAGCCAGAAGTGGCACTGTGGTAGGGAGCTAGCCTTGGGCACAAAGAGGCTTAGGAACAGTGCCTAGGCCCTGACCAGCAAAAGGACCAACAAAAAATTAAACAAAAATATTGCCAGGAACTGGTGGCTCATGGCTATAATTCTAACTAGCTATTCAGGAGACTGAGATCTAAGAACTGCAGTTCAAAATCAGCTGGGGCAGAAATCTCCATGAGACTCCTATCTCTAGTTAATTGCTAAAAAGCTGGAAGTGAAGGTTTGTCTCAGGTGGAAGAGTGCTAATCTTGAGGGGAGGAAAAAACTCTAAAACCAGGAATAGTGCCCAGACCCTGAGTTCAAGCCTCAGGACTGGCACAAAAGAAAAAAAACAAAAAACAATGGCTGCTTCAGATAGCACACTAAATGTGGGAACTGACAGGGAAAACAGATACCTAAAGGAAGAACTTTACAAAATTCTGTTCATGGCTGTGCCTCTCTTCCATCATCTTGCCCTTAACCACAGACATACAAATAGCGAGAGAATGACTCTTCTCATTACGTGTTTCTCCTGGTCTTCCCCATGCTAGTATATGAATGTGTCGGTAAGAGTCATCCTTGATTCTCTTGGCTTTACGTCCTATGTATAGTAGTCTTCTGGAACTGTCAGATAAGAGATAGGAGACACAAACCAAGAGTGCATGAAGCTAAGGGAGATTGTAGACTACCTTGAGGGTTACTCAAAATTAGCAGCAGGAGGAAAAAAGCACTACTGTGGGAAACGCCAGTATTTTCAATAATAATGTTTAAAACCCAAATTTAATATGAAATAAGACCTCATGAAATATTGATAAAAATTTGTTAGTAACTATTTTAATAGAGGTCCAATACCCAAAACTTTAAAAATGCATTTTAACTTAAAAACATTTTATAAATAATAAAAACAATTTTTATATAGTTTTTTTTTTTTTGTTTATTGTTTTTTGTTTTTTTGTTGGTTGTGGGGCTTGAACTCTGGGCCTGGGCGCTGTCCCTAAGCTCTTCAGCTCAAGGCCAGCGCCCTACCACTTGAGCCACAGCACCACTTCCATCTTTTTCTGCTTATGTGGTGCTAAGGAATCTAACCCAAGGCCTCATGATGCATGCAAGGCAAGCACTCTACCACTGAGCCACCTTCCCAAGCCCCTGGTACAGTATTTTTAACCATATGAAAAACTTTACAGAAAAATCTTCAAGGACCAAAGTAGAGTTTAATTAGCTTTTAAATGATAGCTGCTCTTCAGAGTCTCAAATGATTGAATATTTTAAGTTATCTGTGTTTATTTTGAAAGAAAAGTGCCTTATATGTTATCTAAATTCTACAAGATAATATTCCTATGTGTTATCTAAATTCTACATGGTAGAAGCAGTAATGCCTGCTAGAATGGACAAAAATTCTGGAACTACAACACAAATTAGCAAGGAGGTTTTGAATATTTATCATTTTTACACAGAAGAGCTAGTGTCTTTATTTACATGTAGTGGCTTTCAGTAAATATTCTGTAGTAATAAACGAGTAGGATTTAAGCCTCTATTATTTGAGTAGATAAAGCAGATTATAATTCTATTTGTCATGGATTTGTGTTGTTACAGTTTCTTACCATTCTTCTTACCTTTCTTGTACAGAGTAATTATGTGGTGTTTATAGCAGAGCTCTTCTGGTGGTTTGAGGTGGTGAAGCCGCCCTTTGTGCAGCCTCGAGTTATTCGTCCACATGGAGGTAATCAGCCTTTTTCATTTTTCATGGAGGAAAATGGAAATTTTACATAGTCTCATCTGGTTATTCTTTTGAAGCCTGTTGCTGTTTTATATTTCAGCTTGATATTTAGCTTTGATCAATTGTAAGTATTTTAATACTTTCAATCCCTAAATCATAATTATGATGAAAGAAAAGAAAATTGAGAGAATGGCTCCAAATTTGAAGTCTTACAGTATAGAATTTTTAAGTTAAGTGTGTAATATTTCTCTTTGCATCTTTTATTCCTATTTCTAGTGTTTGATTACTCCTGTCCCTAGTTCTTTGTTTCAGCATTATGTTATCCAGAATCTAGTTGCAGTATGACACCGCCTTAACCTACAATTCGAATTTGCCATTAAATCATTAGAGGGTTTGAACATATATTTAAACTGACACGGCTATTATTAATATAATATCATAATTTATTGTTAATCTTCAACAAGAACAAACTAATATGAAATAAAATTATTACTATAAAGATCCCTAGGAATAAAGAATAAGAATTCCTCAAGTTTCTATAAAGCAAATTTATCATTAGCAAAATAGGTTTTCTGTTGGCTTCCGATATAAAAGGAGAGCTTTATTTCTAGCGGGAAAAAAGATTCTAAATGCTAAGTTCAGCCCCCTAATTGCATTTCCAGCAAAAACAATTATTGGACCAGTTCTTTCTGCTACCAGTGGCTACCCTCGCAAACACAAAACTTGATTATTATGCCTTCCAAATACTTAGCAGCCTTCCTTGGCTCCAAACCTTGTTTTCCTAATCTAGTTCTAGTTACCTCTGCCCACTCAAAAAATTAAAGAGCAAGAAATACAGAAGGAGGAAAAAATACCCAAGAGATATTTTTCAACTATTTCAGTCTAAATTCTGTGAAATATACCAGTGGATATTTGATTTGTCGTACTCTCTCAGCTATGTAAAGCAGATGTTGAATATTAAGCCAGTTAAATAACAAAGAAAACTTAAAGATGTTGAGGTCTTTCCCTAAGCCAGGTGCTAGTGCCTTACATTTGTAATCCTGGCTACTCAGGAGTCTGAAATTTGAGAATGGAGGTTCGGAGCCAGCCCGGGTAGGAAAGTCTGTGAGACTCTCTATCTCCAATTAACCACCAGAAAACCAGAAGTAGAGCTGTGGCTTAAAGTGGTAGAGTGCTAGCCTTGAGCAGAAAAAGCTCAGGGAGAGCACCCAGATCTTGAGTTCAAGTCCCATGGCCAACAACATCAAAAAGATCTTTCTCTAAGACTATTAAGTAAGATCTTAGTTACTTAATGGTAAGTCTTACTTAATAGTCATTTCAAAACAATATACAATTTACAGCAGTTAACATAAATTTTCTACTACATTGTTTTTTTTGTGTTTTTATCTGAGGCCCAAAATTCCAACATCAGTTTTATTAAATATCTCAAAAGTAAATTAGTTTCTCAGAGTAAATTACAAAAATAAAAACTATCCTAGTAGGTTTAATTATTCTCCAGTGAAATCCTGTCCACTTTAATTGATTGCCAAAATGCCAGCTTTCACAAAAAGCAAAGATAAGTCATATATATCTGAGAGGCTATGAAAGCATTCACAAAATTAAGCTTATAAATTTATCGTTAAATATATATCTTATGGTAGCCCCCCTCCAAGTGAATATAAGTCAGAACACTTTAAGAAGGATTTAAAGCAAGTTTGACCTTTCAAAATTATTTATAAAGAAATTTGCTAGGTATGGTCATCGGTATCTTTGATCTCAGCACTGAAGAGGTAGAATCAGGAGAGTCATGAATTCAGGGCCAGCCTGAGCTATGGAGTGAGACCCTATCTCAAGGGAAAATACAAACCAAAACTAGGAGGAGGACGGGGCCGGAGTCTTATGTCAGAAGAAGAAGGAATTATTTAAGAGGGAAAGGCAGGGCTGGTCTGTACCATGTGTAAGGTCTTAGGTTCCATCCCAAATCACATAAAAAGTGGGGGGAAGAAAGGAAAACAGAAGCTACCAATACTATGATTTCTCTGTAGCTAGTAAGGAAACTAGAGATTACGTTTGAAACATTTATTTATGGCCTAGATTTCCTAAAATAAATGTTAGAAACAAGCTGAATGAGTGATTTTGAAGTTTTATCTTTCATTCTAGCTGAACCTGCGAAAGATAGGCCATCGATTCCTGTCTTAAATGCTGCCAAAAGAAACCTCTTGGATGGCTCATCCGGGTCTGACTTCACTTCAAGGTAGACTCCGCAGTGACTTCACTTTTTCCGTTTGTTTTCTGATGAGGTCCAATAGTATTTTATATTTAACAAAATTTTTTAAAATTTAGTTGGATTTTAAACTAGGTTGTAATTAACCTAAATTACATTTGTATTTTTAAATTTAAGATTTTTCAAAGAAATATTTTAAGTAATTTTTCCCTTTTTTTCAATTTTCTATATTGAGAGATAGCAATAAAGTTAAATATTAAATCTTAACCTAGTAAAGATTAGTGTGTCAGGAACTGAGTTGACAAAAACGATGGTTTGTGGATTTTTAGAAACTGGAACAAATCTGTTAAAATTCATTTTAAAATTATGAGCAAAAAATTCATAGAGTCTTGGCTTTATGAAAAATAAACTGTTTCTGAAGCCTCCATCTGCTCTTCATGTTAGAAGTTCTAAAGTGTGGGCCACTTTTGAATACAAAAGCTAAGGCTCAACTGAGCACTGTAGTGGATACTCTTACTTGCTTTGTAGGGCTTCCTACCTCTCTGAACTATAGTGCCTAGTGATTTACTACTATGAATTTTCTTATTACTTATGGTTTTATGTTTTTTTTGTTTTTGTTTGCTTGTTTGTTTTATGTGGGTCCTGGGGCTTAAACTGAGCTTTTGTGTTCAAGATTAGTACTCTTCCACTTGAGCCACAGCTCTAATTCTGGCTTTCTGTTGGTTGGTTGGATGGTTGGAAATAAGAGTCTCACAGACTTTCGGCCCATGCTGGTTTCAAACCATGATCCTCAGATCTCAGCCTCCTGAGTAGTTAGGATTACAGGCATGAGCCATCAACACCTGCAAAAGGAGACAAAGGGACTAAGTATTAAAATATTGCTGATCTAGGAGTTTCTGTGGGTTTTTTTCCCCATGGGAAACATCATCTGAATATTATTCTCTGGTTGGTTACATGGTAATATTTACGTCCTTGAAAATGTATAAAATGTTTGATATTCTTGGGTCTTCTATTCTCCGAACTGTTAATTAAACCTTAATTTTCCACTTTATAAGTGATGGTAAAACTTTAAGAGTAGATTAAGTTTGAATAAAGAATCTTAACACATTTTTGACAGTTTTTTGGTTTTTTTTTCTGCTTAGTTGTAGAGTTTGGACTCAAGGCCTGGGCACTGTCTCTGAGCTTTTTCACTCAAAGTTAGTGCTCTACAACGTTGAGCCACAGCACCACTTCCGGTTTTCTGGTGGTTAATTGGAGATAAGTGTCTCATGGACTTTTCTTGCTTAGGCTGGCTTTGAACTACGATCCTCAGATCTCAGCCTCTTGAGTAGCTAGGATTTCAGGTGTGAGCCACCAGCACCTGGCAGGAAAATGTTTTAATTTAGGTCCATGGTAGACTCATTTTTTTTTTCTTTTTATTTATTTTTTCTTTCTCATATGCCTGAGTGGCTACTTTTTCTTAGCTGAAACTTTTTTTCTAATAACACAGATCTCAAAATACTTTTCTTTGAAGGGTTATTCTGTGTCCTTCTAGGCTCCTTCTACTCTTCTTTCTTCTGTGAGGCTCCACAGGATCCCCTGTAGTTCTCCAACACTAAAAGTTTTGAAGAAGGCTTTTTTTTCTCCAGAGCAATGTAGTTAGTCACATCTATATATGTCATTGTATCTAAAGAAAAATGACAGACAAAGTTAAAGATCTTCACCGCCACTCACAGCTTTGCTACCAGCTTATTTGGGAGTTACACAAAATCAAAGTCCTCTAAATGTGAACATAAGACTCTCAGATATTTTAGCCATCTGGGAAAGAACAGTAAACACATTTTAATAAACCAATAGGTTGTATTTCAGCTAACATAGAGCTGAGGGAGAAGAGGGGACACTGGAAGTGATTTCAGAGGAGGCATATGACAAACAAGAATGCCAGGGCACAGGGTGAGGTCTCGGGCAGCCCTCACCAGTGACCACAGATAAGACTGCCACCTGTGTGTGCGGCAGGAAGGGGAGGTCCATGTGAGCAGGCATTTGATTTGGGCGAAAGGAAGCTCTTCAGGTATTGTGCTTTTGGGAAAAACTCATTAATTAAGCTTTCCTTAAATAATAAGACATTGATATCTCTTTAAATCCTTTGATTGACTTGTTCTGCTCCCAGTTTATATTAGCTGAAACACAGTTTGGGTGAGTTACAGAAATCAATCCATCCTCTTGCCCCCAGTCTATGTTCAACTGAATGGGGGTGGGGATGCTTCCCTTCACTTGGTTGCAGGAGGCGAAATGGCATCTTGGAACTGAGATGATAGCTTGATCCAGTCAGAATCATTATAATCTGAGACAGAGACTGTCTCATCTCCTGCATGAAGTGGAATAGGATAGAATGTAAGGAAAGTAACAAGAGAGCTGCAGATCTTTCTAGGCCTGGAGAACTTCAGTGTGTGGCTGAGACGTAGAGGCCCAGCCCATGAACAGGAAAGCTGGCTGTCTTCAGTCTTCCAAGTGTTCTTTCTGTCTATAGCTTTTAGAAATGTACCTAGACCAAACACTTCAAGTTGCTGAGCTTCATCAGCATCTTTTTTTGTTATTCTTCTTTCTTTTCTTTCCTTCTTTCCTTCTTTCTCTCTCTCCTTCCTTCCTTCCTTCCTTCCTTCCTTCCTTCCTTCCTTTCTTTCTTTCTTTCTTTCTTTCTTTCTTTCTTTCTTTCTTTCTTTCTTTCTTTCTTTCTTTCTTCCTTTCTTTCTTCCTTTCTTCCTTTTTTCCTTTCTCCCTTTCTTTCTGCCAATCCTGGGGCTTAAACTTAGGGCCTGGGCACTGTCTCTGAGCTTCTCTTTGCTCATAGCTAGCACTCTACCACTTGAGCCACAGTACCACATCCAGCTTTTTCTGTGTATGTGGTACTAGTGTTTCATGCATACTAGGCAAGCACTTTACCACTAAGCTACCTTCCCAGTCACTATTTCTGTTTTTCTATTGGTAGAATGAAAATAATATGCTATATCTTATCTCTTAAGATATATATATATCATATATGTATGTATCTTTTAGCCAAATAATTTGAAGTGCCTTCATATATAATTTAAACATTAGATTTTCAAAATTTAGACTCAGAAGTGAAGCAGTATTATTTCTCCAGCCATTCTGTGTAAGGTTTGTGAAAGCTCTAAAGCAGAGCCTTTCAGGTATATCTTATCCCGCGGCGGGAGGAGCCCCTTTCACGGTCTTGTCATTTGTCTTCCAGATACTCACGGCCCCATGCCCCTTCTTCAGCCTCAGGTAATGTATTTGAGAAAGCTTATCCAAAATAATGCTGTTTTAGGTAGTTTACCTGGGAAGTGACTGAGAGTTGATAGAAGTAAACACCCAATCTGAAATGTTGTGAATATTCAAAAGTCTGATTCTGTGCTTGCTCTTCTTTTTTCTTTTCTTTTCTTTTTTTTTTTTTAATGTGGTGCTGTGAACCAAACCCAGTGCCTTGTATATCACCTGCTTAGAAAGCCCCCTACTAACCGAGCTACGTCCCATTCCTACTGCTTTCTTTTCTTTTTAGGATTGGCTCTCAGCTTTCCTTCTTCAGTCTCCTAAGTTCAGGAGCTATACGTGTGTGCTATTCTACCTAGCCTTCACTTTTTTTTTTTCTTTTTGTACAGTGGGGCTTGAACTGAGAATCTTGAGCTTTTACTTAGCTTTTTAGCTTAGGGCTAACACTCTTCTACATGAGCCACATACCCCCTTTTGGCTTTTTGCTGGTTAATTGAATATAAGAATCTCTCTCTCTTTTTTTTTAAATTTTCCCAGGCTAGCTTTGAACCAGGACCCTCAGATATCAGTTTCCTGAGTAGGTAGTATAACAGGCATGAATCACTGGCACAAAGCTTCAGCTTGGCTGAAATTTTCTGTACATATTTGTTTGTGGAGGTGGGGTGTGGTAGGGATTGAATCCAGTACCTAAGCTTTGTGTTTGTGTGCCAGGGTACCTACTTACTTTTCAATGTTATGGATGAATCCTTAAATGTATAAAATCTGTTGAATTTCTGTAAGTTTCCATTTTTTACATGATTTCAATGGCTGTTTTCCATTTGAAGGAGGAATTAGAAGGTCTTCATCCATGTCATATGTTGATGGTTTCATAGGAACATGGCCCAAAGAAAAAAGGTAAGCAAAGGGAATTAGTATAGTCACCTTATGAAATTTAGAAATGTCCATTGGGGGGCTGGGAAGGTGGCTCAGTGGTAGAGCACTTGCCTTGCATGCATAAGGCCCTGGGTTCGATTCCTCAACATCACATAAGCAAAAAGAAAAAAAAAGCCAGAAGTGGTGCTGTGGCTCAAGTGGTAGAGCACTAGCCTTGAGCTGAAGAGCTGAGGGACAGCGCCCAGGCCCAGAGTTCAGGCCCCACGACCAGACCCAAAAAAAAAAAAAAAAGAAATGTCCGTTGGATTGCTCTCTGTCTCGCTATTAGTCAGAATGCCAAATCTAGACTTTTACTTAGTGTGCAAATCTAAAAGGGGCAGCATAGGCAGATGGTAGAGAGGTCACGAGCTGAGTTTAATGGGAAGAGAAACAAGCACAAACTTATCTTGAGTATAACGAGGAGAGAGACAGGCACAGCTTCCCTTGAGGTCAGCTGGATGGTAATAAGTGGAGAAAGAGAAGAAATGAATTTCCCAATAATTTTATTTAGTGAGATTTAAAAAGTCAGCTATTTTCTGGGATTACTTAAGCATTTTCTCTTTAAATTTTTTCTAGATCATCTGTGCATGGTGTTTCATTCGATATTTCTTTTGATAAAGAAGATAGTGTGCCAAAATCCACTCCAAACCGAGGAATCACTCGTTCTATTAGCAATGAAGGGCTTACTCTGAACAACAATCGTGTATCTAAACACATTCGGAAAAACTTGTCCTTCAAGCCAGTAAATGGAGAAGAAGAAGAAGAAAGCATTGAAGAAGAACTTAACGTAGACCCTCACACGGACCTCAAATCTTACATGCCTCTTAATGCAAACGAACTAAATTCTAATGAGAATATTCCTTCCAAGCTTCCAAACGGAGCTTTACAAAACAGAGTACTCCTAGATGAGTTTGGTAATCAGATCGAGACGCCAAGCATTGAAGAAGCATTGCAGATAATTCACGATACCGAAAAATCTCCCCACACGCCTCGGCCAGACCAAATTGCTAATGGCTTCTTTCTTCATAGCCAGGAGATGAGTATCCTTAACTCCAATCTCAAGCTAAATCAGTCCAGTCCTGACAACATAAGTGACACGAAAGGTGCCTTGAGTCCTGTGACCGACACCACAGAAGTAGACACTGGAATTCACGTTCCCTCCGAAGACATTCCTGAAACCATGGACGAAGACTCTTCTTTGCGGGATTACACCGTCAGCTTGGACTCTGACATGGATGACGCATCTAAATTTCTCCAGGATTATGACATCAGAGCCAGCAACCCCAGGGAAGCTCTCAGTCCTTGTCCAAGTACTGTAAGTACCAAGTCTCAGCCGGGGAGCAGTGCTTCTTCTAGTTCTGGTGTGAAAATGACCAGCTTTGCTGAGCAGAAATTCAGGAAACTGAATCATACGGATGGGAAAAGTAGCGGAAGCAGCTCTCAGAAAACCACACCAGAGGGCTCGGAGCTGAACATTCCTCACGTGGTTGCATGGGCACACATTCCCGAGGAGCCCAGCCTTCCGCCGGCTCGGGATACCACACAGCTGCTGGCTTCGGAGATGGTGCATCTCAGGATGAAACTGGAGGAAAAGAGGCGGGCAATAGAAGCCCAGAAGAAGAAAATGGAAGCCGCGTTCACGAAGCAGAGGCAGAAGATGGGAAGGACAGCCTTCCTCACTGTAGTGAAGAAGAAGGGGGATGGCATCTCCCCGCTCCGCGAGGAAGCGGCGGGCGCGGAGGACGAGAAGGTTTACACGGACAGAGTGAAGGAGAAGGAGGCGCACAAACCGGACGGACAGAGGAGCAAGTCACTGGCCGATATAAAAGAAAGCATGGAGAATCCCTCGGCCAAGTGGCTGAAGTCCCCAACCACCCCGGTGGACCCCGAGAAGCAGTGGAACCTGGCGAGCCCTTCAGAAGAGACGTTGAATGAAGGGGAGATACTGGAATACACGAGGTCCATCGAAAAGCTCAATTCCTCCCTGCATTTTCTGCAGCAGGAGATGCAGCGCCTGTCCCTTCAGCAGGAGATGCTAATGCAGATGAGGGAGCAGCAGTCGTGGGTGATTTCGCCCCCACAGCCCTCGCCGCAGAAACACGCGCGCGATTTCAAGCCTTCCAGGCAGGCCAGCCTGTCGTCCACCACGGCGCCGTTCTCGTCGGACTCCCCCCGTCCCGCTCACCCGTCTCCACAGGCCTCCAACAGGAAGAGCGCGTCCTTTTCCGCGAAAAATCAAAGGACTCCCAGGCCCAATGATTTAAAAATAACACCTTTGAATCGAACCCTGACACCCCCTCGGTCTGTGGATAGTCTTCCTCGACTAAGGAGGTTTTCACCAAGTCAGGTTCCCATTCAGACTCGGTCTTTTGTGTGCTTTGGAGATGATGGGGAACCTCAGTTAAAGGAACTCAAAGCCAAGGAGGACGTTAAAAAGGAGGACTCTGAATGCAAAGGGGCGCCAGGACCACATGGATATAACCCCGAAGAAAAGGAGCTCAAACCTCTTGAGTCAACGGTTTCTGAAGTCCTGTCTCAGCCTGTCACAGAGACTGTGTGTCTGACACCAAACGAGGACCAACTGAACCAGCCCACAGATCCCCCGCCCAAACCCATCCTCCCACCCGCGGCCCCCAAAAACATTAACCTGATTGAAGTTTCCCTGTCAGACTTGAAACCCCCTGAAAAGACTGATGTGTCTGTTGAAAAAGATGATGGAGAAAGCGATAAAGAACAGTTTGCTGATGATGAGCAGAAAGTATGCTGTGGCTTCTTTTTTAAGGTAATGCCACTCTGCATAGTTTCGGGCATTGTCATTAGAGGGGTGGGGGCGGGGGTGGCTTTTTCTAAGTTGACAGGAGCAGTGCCTTTTTTTTCTTAAATACAAATCTGCTATAATTCCTAAAATGTATTTTGATAGCTTCTGCCTTGGTAGACTTGGTAATACTGAAGTTCATGATTGCTCAAGTAGTATACTAGTGTGGATTCAAAGCTGTAACAAATCCTTTGATTACAGTCATGAATAGGCTTACATAGATGACTTGTGTGCTGCTTTAGCTCTCTTCCTCACTTTCAGTAAAGCCTTTTAAAAACTAAGCTGCTCAAACCAGGCATAGTGGCATCACAAGGCAGAGGCAGGCAGATTTTGCATTTTTAGGCCAGCTTGGGCTAATGAAAACCAACAAATAAATACATAAAAATAAATTAAGTTATTTAAACCTCTAATATAGAGTGATTGGGTATTCTTGTATGTAAGTATGTGTTTAAGGTATTTTTACCTTGTGCACATCTTTCCTTATATGCTTTCTTAAAAAACAAAAAACGGGCTGGGAAGATGGCTCAGTGGTAGAGCGTGTGCCTTGCATGCCTGAGGCCCTGGGTTCGATTCCTCAGCACCACATAAGAAAAAAGAAAAAAGCCGGAAGTGGCGCTGTGGCTCAAGTGGTAGAGCGCTAGCCTTGAGCTGAAGAGCTGAGGGACAGCGCCCAGGCCCAGAGTTCAGGCCCCAGGACCGGACCCAAAAAAAAAAACACCTTTAATTCCAGGCACAGTAGCTCATGCCTGTAATCCCAGCCATTTGGAAAGATCACTGTTCAAGGGTGGCCTAGGCAAAAAGTTAATGAGATTCCTCTTCTCAACAAGTAAGCTGAGTATAGTAGTTTACACTATAACCCCAGCTTCACTGGAGTCTGAGACAGGAGAATCATGAAAAACACAAACACTGTCTGAAAATAATTTAAAGCACACAAGAGCTGGAGGGAAAAGGGGGAATGTTGCTGAAGCAGCAAGCACAAGTCCCTCTTCCGATTTTAATTTTTTAATTAATTTTGATCAATTTAACAGGATGAGGTGAGGAGAAAACGAGAGGAGGGAATAGCCTGTTCCCCAGGAAATGGGACTAAAGGACTCACAATGGTGGCCTTTAGGCTTTCTGAGCTGGGAGAATGCGCCGAACCCTTAGACGGTGGTTCTGGGTGGATAAGAGGGTTCTGCTTACTGTTATAAAATACGGAGAAGTAAAACACTGTGGTTCAAGCTGTAGAGTGGCCGCCTGGAGTGAAAAGGCTAAGGGACAGCACTTAGGCCCAGGCCCTGAACTGGCCCTAAGCTGGACTTCAGAGGCTCATGCCTAGAATCCTAACTACTCTAGAGGCTGAGATCTGAAGATCCCAGTTCAAAGCCATGTAAAAGTCTGTGAGATTATCACTAATTACCCAGCAAAAGGCCACTGGAACCTTCTACTCCATCATTCCATAGCTGCTGCTGCTTTTTTTTGGTGGGGGGGGGGGGCAGTTATGGGGCTCAAACTCAGGGCCTGGACACTGTCTCTGAGAAATTTTTTTTTTTTTTTTTTTTACTCCCCTCCTCCCTCAAGGCTAGTGCTCTACTACTTGAGCCCACAGGGCTGCTTCAGGCATTTTCTATGATTAATTAGAGATAAGAGTCTCACAGGCTTTCCTTCCCCTGCTGGCTTCAATCAAACCACTGGCTTCAATCAAACCACGATCCTCAGATCTTAGTCTCCTGAATGGCTAAGATTACAGGCATGAGCCACCAGTGCCTGGCTCCATAGCTTCTCATTTGTCACCTTTCCTCTAAGCACACCTTCCTGTTCTTCATATTGCTAATTGTTCCAAAAATCAGGCCCAGTTGAAAAAGTCTGAAGAATTGCCTGTGGGATGTTCGTACCTTTGGCAAGCTGTGCAGGGCTTCCACAGACTGACCTAAACTCATTTGCCTGCCTCATCCCCGTAGCTCCTATTTGGGACTGTTGTGTAACACTTACTTCAAGTTTCACTCGAGTTTTTCATACTCCCTTAAGTGGAGGATAAGTATTGTTGCCTTCTCTCTCTGATATATCTTGAGCATGCTATAGCTCCTGAGACCCGGAGTTTGTTATTCCATTTATGGTGTTTTTCTCTTGGACGGTGACTTCCTGGAGCTACTGGGTCTTTTTATATCCCGGAGAATAGTGGTGTATAGGTAGTTCATTAGATACATGTGCACGCCTATAGGCAAACCTGAATGCCGATGGTTTAATGGTGTTTCCTGATATTCTCCATTCTCCACACATCTGGTCAATTACTCAAAACAACACCTTACTTATTTATCTCCTTCCTCAAGTGGTTTTGCCCCTCCTTGATCTAAGGTGTCATGTCTTTCTCCTGTGTTGGTATCTATAATGTTGAACAGTTTTTTGTGAATATATTAGACACCAATGGAAGGAATGACAAATGACAACGTAATGACAAATCATTAAGAAAATTAGCTGGCTGGGTGAGGTGGCTCATGTCTGTAATCCTAGCTGCTCAGGAGGCTAAGACCTGAGGATTGTAGTTCAAAGCCAACTGGAAAGTCCATGAGACTCTTATCTCCAATAAACGATCAAAAAGCTAGAAGTGGAGCTGTTGCTTTCAAGAGGTAGAGCTAGCCTTGAGCAAAAAAAAAAACTCAGGGACAGCATCCAGGCCCTGAGTTCAAGCCCCACGACCAACCAAGAAAACACCAAAAAACAAAACAGAGTCAGGCCTAGGAGATAATAATCATGACTGTCAGCTTGAAAGAACCCAGTTGAGGAATATAATTTCACTCATCTCTTCAAAGAGAAAGCTTTTGCTGGAAGCTAGTGGCTCATATCTGTAATCCTAGCTCTTCAGGAGATTCATATCTGAGAATTGAGGCTTAAAGCTGGCCTTTGCAGGAAAGTCCATGAGACTCTTATCTCCAGTTAACCACCTAAAGGCTAGAAGTGAAGCATTGCCTCAAATGGGAAGATTTTATCCTTTTTTTTTTTTTTTTTGCCAGCGTGGGGCCTGAACTCTGGGCCTGGGTGCTGTCCCTCAGCTCTTCAGCTCAAGGCGAGCGCTCTATGACTTGAGCCACAGCGCCACTTCCAGTTTTTTCAGCTTATGTGGTGCTGAGGAATGGAACCCAGGGCCTCATGCATGCAAGGCAAGCACTCTACCACTGAGCTACCTTCCCAGCCCGGTTTTTATCCTTTTTATTGACCATATATTTTAAATGCAGTTTTTTTTTTAATTGAGGGCAAACTTCCCATGCTCAGTTATTAAGATCTAAGAACCTTTTTTTTTTCCCTCAGGGCCATTAAGTTATTTAACAGAATTATTAACACGTTAATTCAGCTTTTCCATCATAATTTTCTACATTTGGCAGAGTCCTGATAGTTCAGATTTCCAGTTATTGAAGTAAGCACAGCGTGCAAATACAGCAATTGAAAATGAGACTGTTACTACCTGAAATGTTCCATGAAATTTGTTCTTAGGATGATCAAAAGGCAGAAAATGACATGGCAATGAAGCGAGCAGCACTGTTGGAGAAACGGTTACGGAGGGAGAAAGAAAGTCAGCTTCGAAAACAGCAACTGGAAGCGGAGATGGAGCATAAGAAAGAGGAGACCAGGTAAACGGGGCAGGGCCTTCTTGGACACCTCCTGTGGACGCAGAGGGAGGTCTTGGGGGAGCATGCTTGGTGAACGGGGCAGGACCTTCTTGGACACCTCCTGTGGGCGCAGAGGGAGGTCTCGGGGGAGCATGCTTGGTGAATTCTTAAGGACACATCCTCCCTCATGTGCACACAGGTTTGTTTGTTTTAGAGATGTTTACAATCTGCTACGTTCTGGTAATTTCTAGAAGATATCTTAATTCCCAAAGTAATACCTAATTTCACATGCCAAAGTTCTCTAGAAATAAGCATTTTATTCAATGTTTGAAACACATCAGTATAGCTTGACTGAATTTTCTCAAATAGATGGTCAGTGAAATACCTGTTTTCTCCAGGGTACCAGAAGGTGTTAGTTCTCTCTTCTGTCATCAGACCTGTAACTTAGTCTTTATTTGATTTCTTAGGCGTAAAACCGAGGAGGAACGTCAGAAGAAAGAAGACGAGAGAGCACGCAGAGAATTTATCAGGCAAGAATACATGAGGCGGAAACAGCTGAAGCTGATGGAAGACATGGACACCGTCATTAAGCCCCGTCCTCAGGCGGCAAAGCAAAAAAAACAGCGGCCAAAATCCATTCACAGAGATCATGTCGAGTCCCCCAAAACACCAATCAAAGGTCCTCCAGGTAACCCAGGCTGCAGTGCGGAGTCTGTTCATAAAACACCAGCTGGGTTTGTCATGCTAACGTAATTATGCTTTGCCAGTGCTAAATTGGATACAATGCAAGATTCTGCATGGTCTGGTTTGGAAAACCAAGATGAGCAAGTGAAGATTTTCCCGACTTCTGTATATTATGTGTGCATGCATATATTCAAAAGAACAAATGAGAAGCCTAAAACTGAATTTAAATAGAAATTGATTAGAGAACTCTGTCCTCAGATCCAAGCCCCATGAACTAGTAACTACCCTTTAAATACTTACACAATTAGGATAAATGTTATGTGCATGAAATGTATTTTTTAAGTATATTTGGTGTGTGTGAGAGTATATGCTGGGGATTAAACCCAAGGCTTCACACATAATACTCTACCACTCAGCTGAACCCCCAGCCAACACCTTTGCACAGTAAGGAATATAAGATCACGAGTATAAGCTTGATCTCAATGGCTCACAACTATAATCGTGGTTACTCAGGAGGCTGAGATGAGAAGATTATGGTTTGAAGCCAGCTCAGTTCATGAGACTTATCTTCAGCTAACCAGCGAAGAGCCAGAAACAGAGCTGTGGCTCACGTGGAAGAGTTCTAGCCTTGAGCAAAAACAGCTAAGGGACAGCGCCAGGTGTTCCAAGGTAGAGTTCAAAAAGCACAAGAAAGCAAAGAAAAATGATCCCTCTAAAAGAACAACAACAACAAAAATCCCTCTTTTAAGACAGAAATGTTCAAAAATTCAAATAATTTCTAAATTAAGATGTATCTTTTTTAAAAATTCAAGTACATACTTTTATTTTCTAAAAAACATTGTATTTAAATTTCATGGAGAATTTTAGAGAATTCCCACATTGGACCTAAGGGTGTAGCTTAGTGGGAGAGTTTGTCTGACTCCCAGCATCAGAAAATAAATACCCCAGCACCACGAAATAAACAAAAAACAAACTATAGGATTCCCAGAATTACTCTAAATCCGAGGAGAAATAAATAATGTTGACTGTTGAGAGGGAAGTGTGTCTTTTCTAGTCAATGCAGCCTTTTTATCTTTGTTTGTTCGGTTGGCTTTGAGGCAGAGTATCGCTATTTAATAGCCCAGTCTGGCTTTGAACTCTTACTTTTCTTGCCTAGGTCTCCTGAGTGCTGGTATTACAGTTGATTACTACCACATCCAGCTCAGTGAAAGTTTTTTATATACTGTATTGGCTGAAGTTAATAAATTAATTTCCTGCCCAGAAGTTAGACACTCTGTTACTTAACTATTTTTGCTTCCTTGACAAAAACCTAATAATGGTATCTGGTCTCATCTCAGCACTTCCTTTTATGAATATCAAGTTAGTGTCATCATTTTTTGTTGTTGTTTGTTTGTTTTTTGTTGGTCATGGGGGCTGAACTCTGGGCCTGGGTGCTGTCCCCCAGCCCTTCAGGTCAAGGCTAGCGCCCTACCACTTGAGCCTCAACGCCACTTCTGGCTTTTTTCTGCTTATGTGGTGCTGAGGATTCAAACCCAGGGCCTCATGCATGCAAGGCAAGCACACTACCACTGAGCCACCTTCCCAGCCCCTCATCATTTTTTGAAAAGTAGGTTCTTTAAATCATGTATATGTGCATGCAAGCATATTATGCAGTTAGACTAAGAGTAAAGAAAACAGGAAAAGAAAGAAGCCCATTTTCTGTGCTGGTGTTCTCTAATGAACAGACTCTTTTCTGTTTCTTCTTTTAAAGTTATAATTTTGTTTCTGTTCAGGATCACGACTTTATCGTGTTTTTTCAGCCTCTAGCCTTTCTTTGGCATCACTGAACACGGGTGATAATGAGAGTCTTCATTCAGGCAAGAGGACGCCAAGGTAAAAACCAACACAGGAAAGAAGAGTACTCCTGGAATTACATGCAGTTTTAAAGAAAAAAAATCTGTGGTGTTTTTGTTTTGTATTTTGTAATGACTTGAATCATAACCATGAATTTTCATTAGTTTTATGAATTTCTGTTATAATGAAATTATATTCATCTTTCAGTTTCTTATCATTTAGCATTTGAATTCTTGTTGTTGATAAGATACGTTTTACAAACACTAATTATAACTATATGAAGGTGGTTGCAGTATGATTATGATTAAATTATAATGGTTAGAAACAAAACGCATCCTCTAGTGTTAGCCTCTCTTTTTTTTTTTTTGGTCAGTCGTGGGGCTTGAACTTTGGACTTGGGCACTGTCCCTGTGCTCTTCAGCTCAAGGCCAGCGCTCTACCGCTTGAGCCACAGCACCACTTCCGGTGTTCTAGCGGTTTATTGGAGATAAGAGTCTCACGAACTTTCCTGCCCGGGCTGGCTTTGACCCGCGATCCTCAGATCTCAGCCTCCTGAGTAGCTAAGATTACAGGCGTGAGCCACTGGCGCCCGGCTTCTCTTTTTTTTTTTTTTTTGAGTTTTTCTACTGGAACATTAGAACCATTCCAAAGTAGATCCCTACTTGTTTTTAGTTGTGCAGGGAAGCTTCCATTGTGACATTTTTTTTTTGGGGGGGAGGGGTGTCTGGTCGTGAGGCCTGAACTCTGGGCCTGGGCGCTGTCCCTCATCTCTTCAGCTCAAGGCTAGCGCTCTACCACTTGAGCCACAGCACCACTTCTGGCTTTTTTCTTTTTGCTTATGTGGTGCTGAGAAATCGAACCCAGGACCTCATGCATGCAAGGCAAGCGCTCTACCACTGAGCCACCTTCCCAGCCCCCCATTATGACATTTCTGTACATATGTGCAGTATATCCTGATCAGCCTTTCCACTTCCCCCCCTCCCCCATTCTCCCCCCCTCCACTCCCCTCTCTTAAAAGAGTGTCAGAGTGTAGCACAGGAGGGAAGATTTCCTTTGTCCTTGGAAGTTAGCATCACATTATGCTGTGCTGTAATACCCATGCTCCAAAAGAATGCGTCTCCCAGTGTCGTGGCCAGTGTCCTTGTCTCCCTGTCGCCAGCCTCTTGTGTTGTTGCACTTGTCCTGTGGAGAAACATTCATTCTGTCAACAGATATTTAAAGAGTGTCTGTTATGTTTTGGAAAAGTGTGATGAATACATTGATGTACATCTCACATGTGTGTATGAGTATACATAAATCGGGCACACAGCATCATCACTATTTTAGTTTTAAAGCTCTGTGGGTGCCTGGTTGATTCTCCCACATCTTCCTTCTGGCCCCCAAACCTTGTTCTGTCATTTAGGTCAGAGTCTGTAGAAGGCTTCTTGTCACCAAGTCGTTGTGGCAGTCGAAATGGAGAAAAGGACTGGGAAAATGCATCAACAACTTCATCAGTGGCTTCTGGAACAGAATACACAGGTCCGTGTGTGTATGTTTACTGTGAAAATGCAACAGGCTCATCTCCTTTGGAGCCTGGTAGAACGGCCAGTGCTCATCCTCATGTAGCTCAGTCTCAGTGACAGAGCTGTATACTTAGAGAGGGATTGGCAGATAAAAAGAAATACATTTCTAGCCAGGCGCCAGTGGCTCACGTCTATAATCTTGCTACTCAGGAGGCTGAGATCTGAGGGTAGTGGTTCAAAGCCAGCCTGGGCAGGAAAGTCTGTGAAACTCTTTATCTCCAATAAATCACAGAAAACCAGAAGTGGTGCTGCGGCTCAAGTGGTAGAGCGCTTGCCTTGAGCTGAAGAGTTGAGGGAAGCGCCCAGGAGCAGAGTTCAGGCCCCATGACTGACAGACCCCCCCCCAAAAAATTTTCTAAATAAAATTGATGATGCCACTTAGCATTCATTCCTCTACTTCTATCTTTTTTTTTTGGTCGGTCGTGGGGCCTGAACTCGGCCTGGGCCTGAACTTGGCCTGGGCACTGTCCCTTAGCTCTTCAGCTCAAGGCTAGCACTCTACCACTTGAGCCACAGCGCCACTTCCAGCTTCTGCTTATGTGGTGCTGACTAATCGAACCCAGGGCCTCATGCATGCAAGGCAAGCGCTCTACCACTGAGCCATCTTCCCAGCCCCTCTACTTCTATCTTTAAAATGCTAACCATTTCTATGTGGTAGTTCAGATCTGGCAAAGGTTCAGGAGAGTTTGATGCACAGAACGTAGTTCCTCACTGCTGGGAAAAGCTGAATCTCTAAGTCTTCTCCTCAGTGGAGAAGTGAGGAAGCTGGGAAGGCCAGGGGAAGAGCAAGCAAAGGAGAGCCCCATCATCCTGCCTCCCAAAGAACTGGAGCCCCCACAGAGCCCTGGTTACAGACTTGCTGGACAGACTTCACTCTGTGGCTTTTGATATGGCTCCTAGTATGGCCTATAAAGCTTGGAATTGGGAAGAATTGCGCTGTTAATCCCTTTGTTAATCCTGAAGAAGATGCAACTTTTCTTTTCTTCTTTTAAGATATATTCCTCATGGGCTGTTTCCTTCTACTTTAGCTCACCAGAAGTAAACTTAAGTTTAAGTAGACTTAAGAAAGGGTAGGCAGACAGGGGACAGCAATAGCCGTCTATTCTTTTTTTTTTTTTTTTTTTCTTGGGTCCGGTCATGGGGCCTGAACTCTGGGCCCTGGATGCTGTCCCTCAGCTCTTCAGCTCAAGGCTAGGGCTCTACCACTTGAGCCACAGCGCCACTTCCGGCTTTTTTCTTTTTGCTTATGTGGTGCTGAGGAATCGAACCCAGGGCCTCAGGCATGCAAGGCAAGTGCTCTACCACTGAGCCACCTTCCCCGCCCCTAGCCGTCTATTCTTTCCAGCACTGCTATCACGGAACAACCTCAAAAGCCATATAAACCTCCTCCAGATGCGTCCCTGTGGGGGTAAAGCAGTATTTGATTGGAGTGCAGCCAGAAAGAAACCTGGAACCATGGGACTTATTTACTACAGCCTTGTCCCTGTAGGAAAAGTTACATTATTTAAGAATAGTAGCAGTTCTAGCCAAGCACCAGGGGTTCTTATCACTGACCACCTACTCAGGAGCCTGATATCAGAAGGATCACAGTTTGAAGCCAGCCCAGAGAGAAAAATTTCAGATTCCATTTCCAATAACCAGCAAAAAGCCAGGCTATAGGCATAGCTCAAGTGGTAGAGCAAGAATGGTGGGTTGAGATCCCCAGAACCAGCAAAAAAATAAAAAAGATAATAATAATAATAATGTTGTTTTACATGCTTCCCACAGGACCAAAGCTCTACAAAGAACCCAGTGCAAAATCCAATAAACACATAATACAAAATGCCTTAGCTCATTGCTGCTTGGCTGGAAAAGTAAATGAAGGTCAGAAGAAAAAAATACTGGAGGTAAGCATGTTTACATGAAAACTAAGTTTATCATCATTCTAAAACTATAGGAGTCTTGTCTATCAATGCAAGAGAAAATACCCTCAGGGCTCCTAACATTTCAACAGACGTCTCTAAAAGCTGTGGAACTAGGCTGGGAAGGTGGCTTAGTGGTAGAGTTCTTGCCTAACATGCATAAAGCCCTGGGTTTAATTCCTCAGTACCACATAAACAGAAAAAAACAGAAATAGCTCAAGTGGTAGAGTGCTAGCCTTGAGCAAAAAGAAGCTCAGAGACAGTGCCCATGCCTTGAGTTCACACCCCAGGACTGGCAATTAAAAAAAAAATCTGGAACTAGATATTTTAATTACTAGATTGAGTTAGTTCACTCTCAAGTTGAATTCCGGAAGATTGTAGATTTATTAACACATGAACAATACAAAATTTGTCGCTAAAATGTGGCTCAGTGATAGAGTGCCTGGATTTGATTCTCAGCACTGCCAAAAAGTAATAAAATGGGGCTGTGAAGGTGGCTCAGTGGTAGAGCGCTTACCTTGCATGCCTGAGGCCCTGGGTTCGATTCCTCAGCACCGAAAGAAAAAAGCCGGAAGTGGCGCTGTGGCTCAAGTGGTAGAGCGCTAGCCTTGAGCTGAAGAGCTGAGGGACAGCGCCCAGGCCCAGAGTTCAGGCCCCACAACCGGACCCCTTCCTCCCCCCGCAAAAAAGGTAATGTGCTGTAAAGCATGATCAACAAACATTTACATAATTACATAAACTTCATTGTTATTATTATTTTGTTTTCTTTTCTAAAGGAAATGGAGAAGTCGGATGCCAACAACTTCTTGATTTTGTTCCGGGATTCAGGCTGCCAGTTCAGGTCCTTGTATACTTACTGCCCAGAAACTGAAGAGATCAGTAAACTGACTGGGATAGGCCCCAAATCAATCACTAAAAAGATGATTGAGGGACTTTACAAATACAATTCTGACAGGAAACAGTTCAGCCACATACCTGCAAAAACGTTATCCGCCAGTGTTGATGCAATTACTATTCATAGCCATTTGTGGCAGACCAAAAGACCGGTAACACCCAAAAAACTTCTACCTACTACTAAGGCATAGGAGTGGGAAATGTTTGCTTCAGAACATTCGTAGTAAATTTGCACTTCATCGTTCCTGCCTAGAGAACATCTTTCTCATTGCCAACAAGACTTTTTTGTTCATTAGAACTGGACATTAGCTGATGTCATGAACAACTGGAATGTAAACCACAGTATTTTGGAATGCAGAAGAGTCTCATGTAGCTGGTAAGTCCAAGTGATGAAGGGAAGGTTTGGATTCGCAAGTGAAGATTGGGACATTAGAGGGGTAACCTGCCTGCCTGCTGGTAGAGACACGGAAGCGCTGAATTGTGAACACAGTGGGCGTAGGGTTGAAATGTGGCTAGGATTACAAATTATGTGTTGTACTTGTTGCTTTTTTTTTTTTAACCTTTGACTGTACGTGTTTGTCTTCAGACGGTTCGTTTTGTTGGGGAGTCATTCTAAGCTACCTTTGTATTTGTTTCGCGTGGAGATCTGACAGTAGGAAGAATGCCTTCAGAAGTAATGTGCACCTTTTTCCGCCGTTAAGAGAAACACTAGTGTTACATTTTACAGGCGCGCTCATGTTTAAATGGTGTTAGAGCATTTGCAAAACTTACTCTGTATTATTTATTATTCACTCAAGTATTAACATGTCTCTACTAAAGAAGGGGAGGTGTGAAAGCTGCTAGTAAGTTCGCTTTAAACCACATAAGCTTAACCAAGAATATGAGAAGTTGCTGATTAAATCAGTGTTTTACACGACTTCTGGCCAACTCAGAATAATGGAGATTTTAACAAAAACGGGCTTTTTCTATTTTCCAGAGCAAGTCACTTTATCAGCTGGTCGAAGCGAATGGCACTTTGCAGGTAGTCTTTCAGTATGAAAATGTAAGACTTCCTGAAGCAAGTTCTTGGGAGTCTTTACATTATTTATAACTGCTATGAAAATTATATTTAGAATTTTAGAACATGTACGAGGGCTGTGTTTTAGTTTTAAAATGGCTTCACGTTTATTTTACTTGTATTGGGTTTTTCTTTATAACCCTTTCCATGTGGAACATCATAGACTATGAGGACACACTTGAAATCTCTCTGTGATCGTTGTTCATTAGCAGTGTAGAGCAGAGAGTTCATTGGGGAAAACTTCATTCTCAGGAAAAGACTTGAATGATTCTGTGACCCTGTTATGTTTCAGTGTTGTGACAACTGTGTACACTAGGGGGAAAGACAGTATTGTACCATAAATGAGACGTTGTAGTACCTTTTCTTTCATGGATGTAGAGATGAAGATATGTACATTTCTCTAACTGAGGTGTTTAGAGAGAGCACTATTGTCTCATACAATGTATTTACTTATTTGAAAAAAAAAGATAGGAATGAGCTGTCCCTGAGCTGTACTTTTCTATTATTATAAGGACTTCTGGCATCAGTGCATCTGGGTTATCGACATTTTCTCAAATGCTGTCAATATTTTACTGTAATTTATGTTCTTATATTTATGTATATTTGTTAAAACTGTAAAAAAAAAAAAAGCTCACAGATTTTTTTCCCAATATCTGTGCAAAATATATGTGTAGCTCAAAACTATTTGTGATCTACTGTTTGCATGGAAGAGACCAGGATATGTAACTCTTATATTTTAAGCGTATACATATTGTGTATATAATATATGAATACTAAAAGTGGGGGAATACACATTTTACCTTTCAGACAATTTCTATCACAATTAGAGGGAAATGATCCAGCACATATTTAGACTAAGACTAGTTTAAAAATTTTAAGTGAATCTAATAAAAATGTGAATAATACTGAAAACAAGAAATAAGCATTTTATATTACTAAATTTGTTTTAGTCAGCCAATTAAATTTCCCTTATCAAAGCAATCTTTTTTATATTACCTGGATATTAAATAACAAGAAATCCGAAGCAAGACAATGGAGAACACTAAGCAGGACTAGCTTCCCTTGTCCCGCGATTGAATCCAGCGTCTGTCTTGTCTAAAGGTAGAATGTGACCGTTGCTACAAAGTTCATTGCTCTCAGTACAAGATTTTACTTTATTAATGTAAAAGGCATATGGATATATTTCTTTAAGTCTATAGATTTTTTTATTATGGTGCAGCTTTTTAAAAATTATGTTTAAAATTCTACAAATGAAAGGATGAAAGGATGCCATTTCCCAGAGCCCCGAGGGCTTTCTTCGCCTTGCTGGAGCACAGTACTTCCCTCCGTGCAGGTCAGATGACTAAGTATTCAACTATGTTTGCCAAACACTCACCCTGACTTCAGTGGATCCTGTCGCCTTCTAGTATTTGACAGTCTTAGAAAGCTTTTCGTTCTTCTTGGTTCAAATTTTGTTTCCGAATGACTGTTACAGTTTGGGGTTTGTTTGGCTGCTTGCAGGCAGCACCTGTTGTTTCGTTGGGGTTGGGATCTCATGGCCACCGTTGGGCAGTGTACAGTGTGTGGTGTGCTTACCTGTCTACCCCAAAGCATTGCTTACAGGTTTTCTAAAAGATGCTGTGCTGTAGAATCCTGTCACATTTGCTATTTCCTGGTACAGTGTAGTTTTTCCCCTACCATTTGAATAAAAGCATGGCACCAAATTGACTCCTTTTCTGTTTCTTGAATATAATGAGGTTTGGAGAGGCAAAACTGTTTGAATGTAGGAGAATTATCATTGCCTGGGCTGGCTTTGAACTGAGATCCTCAAGTCTCACCTCGTGAGTAGCTAGGACTACAGGCACCCCCTTAGAAAGCAGCATTTTTGTTGAGAATGGGAGTCTCGGAACTGGCCTAAAAAAGTACATGTAATCCTTCCTGTTTCTTCTTTCCAAGTAGCTGGGATTACAAGCAAGAACCACCTTGCCCAGCAGTTTTCAATAATATTTGACACTGTTTGAAAAGTGACCTAAAGTAATATTAAAAAGTGTGTAACTCAGCCGGGCACCAGTGGCTCTCGCCTGTAATCCTCGCTACTCAGGAGTCTGAGATCTAAGGATTGTGTTTCAAAGCCAGTCCAGGCAGCAAAGCCCACGAGACTCTTATCTCCAATTAACTACCAGAAAACGAAGTGGCGCTGTGGCTCAAGTGGTAGAGCACTAGCCTTGAGCTGAAGAGCTCTGGGACAACTCCCAGGCCCAGAGTTCAAGCCCCATGACCGACCAACTCTTAAGATTTACAGACTAGGGCTGGGAAGGTGGCTCAGTGGTAGAGCGCTTGCCTTTCATGCCTGAGGCTCTGGGTTCGATTCCTCAGCACCACATAAGCAAAAAGAAAAAAAGCCAGAAATGGCGCTGTGGCTCAAGTGGTAGAGTGCTAGCCTTGAGCTGAAAAGCTGAGGGACAGCACCCAGGCCCAGAGTTCACGCCCCACGACTGGACCCCCCCAAAAAAAAAAGATTTACAGACTAACTCTGTAAATCTTACCTCAGGAGTCTGCATTTATGGCATATAAAAATAAGTAAGTATTCATTTTATAAATGGTCATTCATAGTCATTATTTTATGATGAATTATAATTAAGTTGTGCTAAAATTAATACTGTATGCCTTTTGAGGGTGAGCTATCTGCAGAGACCATTAGGAAGTCGGGATTCTGTTAGGGTTTTTTGGTTTTGGTGGGGTTTTTTGTTTTTTTGTTTTTGTGCTGGTCCTGGGGCTTGAACTTCAGGCCTGGGTGATATCCCTGAGTTTTTGTGCTCAAAGCTAGCGTTCTACCTCTTGAACTATAACTCCACTTCCAGCTTTTTGCTTGTTAATTGGAGATAAGAGTCTCATGGCTTTCCTGCCTGGGTTGGCTTCTAACCACAATCCTCAGATATCTCAGCCTCCTGAGTAGCTAGGGATTATAGGTGTGAACCACCAACACCTGGCTGGTTTGTGAGTATGTGTGTGTGGTGTGTGTGTGCCCACACACATGTTTAAATTTTTATTTTGTTTTTGAGACAAGGCCCATCTACTACATACCCCGGGTTGGCCTCATGTTTGCACATTTCCTGCATTCCAAGTGTTGGGATTGCAGGCATGCACTACTGTACCCAGCCTGAGAGGCCAGTTCTTGATGATTGTTTCTGTAAGTTTCACTTTGATTTTGCTGATTCTGCTTATTTGCACCAGAACAACAAAAGAAAAATCTGATAACAAAACACTTCCTCCCCCCCCCCAAAAAAAAAATCTTGCATAATTATTTTCCTGAAGAAATAACCTGTTGTTGCTAGGGATAAATGTGTTTTTCCTTCTTGAAAACTTGAGAATACTCAAGTTTCAGGTGAATGCTACACTTCCACAGTATTACCTGGTACTTTATATTTTCAATAAAAATAGCTCTAAAACCTAGGCATGCCGAGCGCCGGTGGCTCACACCTGTAATCCTAGCTACTCAGGAGACTGAGATCTGAGGATCGCGGTTCAAAGCCCGCCCGGGCAGGAAAGTCCGTGAGACTCTTATCTCCAATAAACCATTTCGAAAACTGGAAGTGGCACTGTGGCTCAAGGAGTAGAGTGCTTGCCTTGAGCTGAAGAGCTGAGGGACAGCGCCCAAGCCCAGAGTTCAAGCCCCATGACCGGCCAAAAAAAAAAAACCTAGGCATATTAGGCATATATAGGTCCCTGGAGCCCAGTCACAAACTCAGAATGCTTTTCCTGACCTCTTGGCTAATTGATAAGCTGCACTGGGGCAGAGAAAAATGTTCTGAAGTGACAAAAACACACACCTCTAATTCCTAACTGTCTACACAGAGATCATAAGGAAGAACCCATGAAGAAAATATAGTTGGAAAGCTGGGACCTAGGAATTGGAAAAGGCATCTATAAAAAGAGAAACTCCATTGTCCCTCCACGTGTAGAGATGCTTTGGGAACACAACTGTATCTTTTTAAATGGCAGCTTTGCTTTGCTTTCTCTTGGTACTGGGGATCCAACCCAGGCCCTTGCTCACATTAGCCTACTGCTTTACCACTGAGCTTTATCTATTGTCTATAGTTTGCCTTTTAAAGGAGAACAGATGTTTGTGGTTTGATGTAATTTGGTAGAGGTGGCATAGAGTAGAGGTTGCTATGTCTGAGTTGCTCTTCAACTAGGTATTCTTAGCTGGGCACAGGTGACTCACACCTGTGATCCTAGCTACTCAGGAGGCTAAGATCTAACGATCGAGATCCAAAGCCAGACCAGGCAGGAAAGTCTGTGACACAACTCAGCAATAAACTATTCAGAAAAACCTGGAAGTGGTACTGAGGCTCAAATGGTAGAGCACTAGCCTTGAACACAAAGAGGCTCAGGGACAGCACCCAGACTCTTTTGAGTTCAAGCCCCAGGACTGGCCAAAAAGTAAGTAAAATAAAAAAAAAAAAAAGAAGAAGAAGAATTCTTGACTCTAGTTCTCAGTCATCTCCTTTCTGCACCTTTGTGAGCACGCAGGTCTTCTAACAACCATTTCTTCCCAAATCAGATGCTTAGTTTTTAGTAACTAACATCTTCTGTGTGCGCATTATTATATTTAACATCACCAAAATGGGGGGAAGTGATTAAAAATGGGTTCACGAAATGTATTTCCAATCCCACTAAGATTGTATCTCACTGTGTTCTAAGATTGTTTCTAACATACTAATATGTTTTTATTCCACATGGAGCTGGGGGGGGGGGGTGGCAAGGAAATCAGGTCTTGACCTCATTAATGTTGCCACTTATTAGTTCTTCACTAAAAGCAACCAACAGTTACCCTCTGCACCCAATATGGGGTTGCAACCAGGGCTTTGCACTTTTGAGGCAGGTCTCTACCACTTAAGCCATTCCCCAGCGCTCTTTGCTCTGATTATTTTAAGAAGGGCTCCTGCTTTCTGCCAGGGCCTGACTACCGTGATCCTTCTATTCACAACCCACGCCTGAGCTGGAATGACAGGTGTATACCACACACCTGTTCTGTTGAGATGGGCCCTAAAATCCCTTCCCACTCCCCACAGAGCCGGTCTGGATCTAGAGCCACAAGCTTCCCAAAGGGCCTCAGCCTCAGCCTGGATGACAGGTGCACACCAGCCACTGGTTGAGATGGGAGCCTCCTGAGGGGCTTTTGTTCTGTTCTCAGCACAACAGGGAACCAAGGCCTGCCTGGTGAGTGATCTGGAGACTTCAGGAAGCTGGCAGGCCCAGGGCACTATGACTCAGTCTCCCATCCCATGCTGGGGGCAGAGGAAGGACTGTGAGGCCGTCTCTGTTGGAGCTTACGCGGTCTCAGTACCCGGGCTCCCTTGGCTGAGTGTTCTGCAGAAAGCCATCTCTCCTCTCCCACCCGCCCGGCAGCCACAGCCACATGGGGTAAGCGAGGGCAGGATGATCTCCCTGGACCTGGTGGGCTTCTAAAGGAACCCACACGTGACTTCATCCCCGTCCTGCGGAGGCCGGAGGGGGGCCTCGTGTCATGCTGGTGACACAGAGCCTCAGAGAGGGCCATGGGACCGAATCACAGCCTCCTGCCGGCCGTCCTGTGGGACATGCGGGGGCATTTTCTCCATCTGGAGCACTCAGTTGGCCCTCTACTTGATGAAATAATGAATTCTTTGCTCAGATGGCAGATTTCAGAAGCTCATCCTGGGGATCCCATTCTTCCCCATGGTGACTTGTCCTTGCTACCCCTCCACCGGTGGAGTGCCGCCTTCGGCCAAAGGGAGAAGGAAAATATGGGGTTTAGTAGCTTCTCCCTGGCCATACCTCCTGCTTGGTCCCAAGATGTCCGCGTCAGCTGTCCGGCTTCTTCGTGCCTGGGGCTCTCTGTGCTGACCTGAGGCGAGGCTGCCTGTGCTGCAAAAGGGAGCAGAGCCAGGCATGGTGGCTCACACCTGTCATCCTAGCTACTCAGGAGGCTGGGATCTGAGAACGGCAGTTCAAAGCCAGCCCAGGCAGGAAAGTCTCAGATACTCTCCAATTAAAAACCCAAAAAATACTGAAGGTGAGGGTGTGATTCAAGTGGCAGAGAGCTAGCTCTTGCACACAAAAACAGCTCAGGGATAACCCCCAGACCCAGTGCAAGCCCCAGGATCAGTCCCCAGCAATCCCCCCCCAACAGCAACCACCACAACAAAACCAGAGCAGACTCCTCAGAACTCTTAGGATAATCAAACATGTCCAAATCAAGTTGGACCTAAAAATTGGGATTTCCAGCTTATGCTTTTAAAGTGGAAGCCTGTGTTATGGAATATTCCTTTAAGACTATGTTTTCTAATTTCCCGTCTCCATGGTGCACATTTGCACTCCACTGCCCCTAACACACACCAAGGTGAAGAAAGAGTTGCACAGCTGCAAACAAAATCAGAAAATGTTCAAACAACAGAGTTCTCAAACCTTCCTTTATTTAAGCTGTCTGGTCCTTTGGATTTGAAGTGTTTCAACCACAATTGTAGGGCTGTGGAATCAGAAAGCTCTGTTTTCAAATCCCACATCAGTTATTCTGAATTGTGTGGCTATAATGCAGTTATTCAGGTTCTCCAGGTCTCAGGTTTCTCTCTCTCTCTCTCTCTCTCTCTCTCTCTCTCTCTCTGCCATTCCTGAGGCTTGAACTCAGGACCTGAGTTTTTGTGTTCAAGGTTAACACTCTACTATTTTGAGCCACAGTTCCATTT